GAGGCATCTTCATACGGAGAATGAGAAAATGTTTCTTTTCAAATTTTATGTAATTGGGTTGAATGGTGATTGGATTTCAATCTTTTTGAATGACTAGCCTGATAATTACTTTTGTGTTACCTTGTATTGTATCACCCAAGCAATTGCTGAACCTGATCTCTGAAAAATGAAACATCTTGATGAACAAAACATGCAAGTTGGAAAATAATTATTGGTGAAAACAACCAGAAGTCCATTTTATGATAATTGTATCTCGTTTTAGATAAAATGTTCATTAAGATGACATGACAGATAAATCTATTGTCATAAGGCTGTTATGTGGTGAGAGAAGTTGCTGTTGTACTACACACACAAGGCGTAGCGCTCTTAGGAGGTATGGCAACCCAGTTATAAGTGGTCATCTTATGCTGAAGAACCTGGTTAGAATCCCCACTTGGTTACAATGGGTGAAGCCCATATGTGGACACACACACACACACAAAAAACAACACACACACTCTCTCTCTTTCTCTCTCTCTGTCACACACAACACACACACACATTCTCTCTCTCTCTCACACACACACATTGCTGAGGTTTTGTGAAACTTTCATAAATAGTTACGATTCAGCTTGTGAAACAAGTGAAACATTGATTTATAATAAAACCTAAAATTCAACCAAGAATAAACTTGTTCACACACACACACATTCTCTCTCTCTCTCTCTCTCTCTCTCTCTCTCTCTCTCTCTCTCTCTCACACACCCACACCCACACTCTCTCTCTCTCTCTCTCTCACTCCTCCTCTCTCCTCTCTTTCTCTCTCTCTCTCTCTCTCTCTCACACACACACAAACACACACATTGGCTTTGTGAAACCATTCTTTCCTAAATGGTTACGATTCTGCTTTAGAACAAGTGATACATTGATTTATAATAAAACGTTAAATTCAGCCAGAATAAATTTGTTCAGCAGACATTTTTTATTAACAAAATTTATGTCATACACAATTTTTCATATTTTATGCTGAAAGATGCTTGACAGTTGAGATTAAATAGATATTTGCTTGTTCAATTCAAAGCAAAACCTGTGTAACTTATTGCCTTGAGCATCCTAGTTCTTGTGGCGCTTCTCCTAAAATCAAAGCCTGGTCCGACGTTTGATGAGGTCCTGTTGTAAATTGTTAATATAGAAACTTCCCCCCTCATGCTGGAACATGCTAGAATGTCAACACTCAAGTATCAGAAGGGGAAATTCAATCAATTTCTCATTGGATGTTTGCTGAAGGCATTGATCCTTCTTTAGGTACTTGTTTTGGATTCATTTGAGTGTTAACGGCCAATAAGCTTGTGTCAAAACTCCTTTATCAATGGGCTTACGTTTTTGTCTCTTTTTTCCATGGTCGATCAAGGCATTGAACAATCTTCTTCAAAAACAAATTTTTCAAAGATGGTTTGAATAATTTAATTGTATAATTTTAAGACTTCTTATTCAGTGAATACTAATTACATTATTTCTATCACTAGCATGTTGAGGAGGTTTGATAAGGAAATGTTAATTGTTACAATAAATCATACAAGGCAATAAATCAAATTTTTAAAGAAAGTACGAATATTAAGTAATCATCTCTCTGGGTCTTTATTCTTCATAAGGCCAGACCAATTCTATTTCTTGTTTAACGGATTTTTGTCAAAGCAGAAACCCACATGAGTTTTTCAAAGGCAGTGGATTTCAAATTCACACTCACTGAGGTGCTTGAAGCACTGATTTTTGGACCGCCTCCGTGGTGTAGTGGTTAGAGCGTCCGCCCGGAGAGCGGAAGGTCGTGGGTTCGATCCCCGACCACGCCATACCAAAAAACGTTTAAATATGGTACTTGTTGGTCCCTGTCTGGCGCTCGGCATTAATGGGTAGAACAAGGACTGGTCGGCTCGGAGTCAGTATAATGTGTCTGAGTGGTATTCATGCTTCACTGCGGCATGGTATCTCAGTGGGCTAGCACTATAAAACCAGCTTAAGTCTGGGCTAGTACAAGCAGCCGCACATACACATACACATGCATGCACATCGTCATATGAGCGAAATATTCTCAAGCACGACACTAAACCCAATTTCACCTCACCTCACCTCACTGATTTTTAACGTAAATATTATTAGATAATTCAGTTTAAAGTTTCTGAGAACAGATACCAGTGTTTTATTGTCCAAAAAACTGCCTTGCTTAGTCGAAGTCTCGCTCCTGTATATCTTAACATTAGGATTATATTTTTCGAGCAGGCAAAATTTATTTATATTTATTTTTTCTTATCTTGAAGAAATACGACCTGGCAGATCCGTAAAACAAGAAATAAGATTGGTCTGGCCTAACCATACAAATATTCACGGAATACTATTTTTACCAAATCGTTTCACATTTGAGTGTCTGAATGACCTTGGGCTATAAATCATGCAAAAACTGGTGTAAGAATAATGTCACTGTCAGAGACGCGAGGTAAAACATCTACAAATTTAACATTAGGCAATCAAACTCATGATCAAACCCACGATCAAACATCTTTGAGATCCTCCTATTTCATGGTGGTAAAAATGCTTGAGAACAAATTAAACTTTTATCGTCAAGCAATGTATGTGTCGGGCCTCCGGTCATAAAATTGTCGTAACAGAGATTATCACAGCGTGAATGGATGTGATTAGCAAGACTACAGCACACAGATTACGCCTTCCCATCTTGCAATGAAGATGTATCGACCATTTCCTCAATTTGCCATGCTTTATTAAACTGCATTCATCACATGTCGGCAGCTTCCCTCTCTCAAGATCTGGCTGCCAGGGAAGGCCAACTTTAGGGAATTTCCAAATCCAGAAAAAAATGCACAGTGACACTCTAATCTATCTCAGTTTTCAGTACTAAAATAAACAGGAACTCCAAAGGGTGCTGTCTTCTTTGTGTTTTCTTGCTTTAAAGTGTTCTGTTTGGATTGAAGGCTAATAAAGTAAATATCAGATTTATATTTTACATTTTTGTAATTTCAAGATGGTTCCAGAGGGACAATTATTTCAGGAAATCTAATTAGGGAATGAATTTGATTCCTTCCATTTTGAAGATAATGAGTTATTCAATTACAGTTGCCAGTGTAAGATGTTGAATTGTGGGATGCGATGAACGTCTGTTGTTTTGGTGAACATTAATTGTTGTGTAGCAAGGAAACACTGACTGAATCAAGATGACAGCTGATATGTGTCATAATATTTGTGTAATAAAATTTACACAAATGTGACTAGTTGAAATTAGATTGATATCATGTGTCTGATAAAGGTAATTAGGTAAATATTAAAGAAATAATAAGTGCTCTCCATAACTATTTGGTAATGATTATTGTTATATCAGAGGACTTAGATACAGCAAAAGAAGTACAACCTTATTTTATGCTCCATCTCAGCTTGTGACACAGTTGTTTTGCTTTCTTCATAGAAGACATAGAAAGTGATACATCACTGTGTGGAGCTTGCTGAGTTGACTGGCAAGTGGTAAGGACAAGGTCAAATTAACCCGGCCTGTGTATTTGCATATAAAAGGCCCTGAAGGATTCGATGGTTAAATCCTACAGCACAATAGGGGCAAATTAGAAAAGAGAATGGGGGATTCTTAAATAGACAGCTCAGAGGGAGATAGTAGGCTTGAAGTCTGCAGCAAATGTCAGTAAAAAAATAATATAGTTTTTCCATATGCTTTATCTTAGAGGTGACTTATGTTGATTGGACGTAAATGCTAAGTTTTTCATTACCAAACTGGTTCCATCTGTTGTGACACTGCACTAATAAGAGAGGTTTGATAGTTTATGGATGACAACTTCTGTATTATATTATGATGCAACGTTTCGGTCTCTATTCTCATACCGTTGTCAAGCAAGATTGAAGTACTACAGATGTTGATTATTTGGAGATTTAATGTGGGCTTTCCGACATAATGCGTATTTCGCACACGGGAGCAAGAGTCAAGGACTACAGCACAGAAAAGATTTATATACATCTAACAGGGATTAATTAAGACAACATGAAGGTATGCGTCAAGGGATTAACAACAACTATGGATATTGGTAATAATGCAGCAACAATTGTAAAAAGCCAACTTCATGAGGCAGAACAAAATATATACATACAGGTAACTGACAAGATTAATTAGCAAAGATGGCTTGTTAGTATTCATCAACTTCTAAAATGCCAATCAAACAGATAGTGACATACACTGTTAAGATACCTATAGACTTGAGACAATAACAATCTCAATGTGTATAATAAGAACCCAATTTTAAGTGATTTCCCCATTTGTCCATCAGGGGCACTGATTGTAAAATCCAAGGTAAATCCTTGTTAGGATTTAAACAGAAGTAGTTGTGCAGCAGTGTGTATATTCTATATACTGACTAATGAGTACCTGCACGTATTGTGTGAAAACGGGTTGATGGCAGGTAGTGTGTGTGTATTGGCGTGTTGGTGATGGGAGCACTTTCGTGGGAAAAACTTCAAGGTTACATTTTATCCCTTGATCATATTCTTGATGTCATGATATTCCAGTTATGCTGTTTTGTAACTGTTCCCTAAGTTAATTGACTCTGGCTGTTAAACATTTACACTCTTTTACAGACCTATTCATGAAACTTTTATTTCACATTCCACCATCTTGTCACGAATATGATCAAAATGAGTGAAAGTGAGGATGGCCATGAGAATCTGATATACTAAAGAGCTGTTGTGTATTTTTTGTTAATTCAAAGCTTGCTTGGGTTTTGGGAGTTTTGTTTTTGTTTGTTAGAGTGGGTTTATTTGGTTAAAGTAACCAATTCAAATATTTAATCAACAAACTGTATATATATATATCTTATGTACGTGATTCAATTTCAAATGGAATTTCACATGACAGAAATAAAATATCAAAGGGAGACAACTCTGTCATAGAAGGGAACTTCACCATTTTCTCTTCCTTCATCAAGAATTAATCTACGACATGTTTGGTGTTACAGACTTGCTGACTGACATGCTTGGCTCACTAGCAAGTTACAGTATCACCGTCAAAGAACTTAAATCCCTCTTTACACTTCTGAAAACCAAAGATGGGAAGTGGGTGAGTATAAACTGTTTCATGAAAGAGAAATTCTTGTGAAATTGTGATGAAATAGAGCAGTAGAAATACTTCTTCAGAGCTTACAAAGGCTTTACACAAAGGTATTCATTTGAGCAATTCCAATTCTAAATTTATAAGAACCACCCTGTGTGTTAATGTTGTCAAAATGGCGGTTATCTACGACCTGCATCACTTTAGGCTTCCTTCCCTCATTAATCTGATATGTCATCTTATAACTGAAAAATGTTTGAAAGCAATGGTATGTCCTACTCACTGATATCATTTGGTTGACACAGTCCAGCTAGTTTGGGTTCTGATTCGGGAAATGGTGGGGGTAGCCTAATGGTTAAAAGCGTTGGCTCATCAAAAGACCGGGTTCGAATCCCACATGGGCACAATGTGTGAAGCCCATTTCTGGTGTCCCCACGCCATGATGTTGGAATATTGCTAAATGCAGCCTAAAAACCAAACTCAGTCAGTCAGTTGGGTTCTGATTCCGGAAATGCCAAGAGTGCCATCTTACATGAGGATTGGTAGGGTTTCAGGGTCTGAACTTTGGCTGGTGTATCATCGTAACTCAACATCATGGAGCGTTGTTCATACTGTTGACCACTTGTCTGTCTGACCCAGACTTGATTTACACTCCACTTAATTATTGCTGACTGCAGAGAGAAATATTATTCACTGACTCGATTTATCACATTCTGTTGCGACCGCCTCCGTGGTGTAGTGGTTAGAGCGTCCGCCCGGAGAGCGGAAGGTCGCGGGTTGGATCCCCGACCGCGCCATACCAAAAGACGTTAAAATATGGTACTTGTTGGTCCCTGTCTGGCTCTTGGCATTAATGGGTAGAACAAGGACTGGTCGGCTCGGAGTCAGTATAATGTGTCTGAGTGGGGTATTCATGCTTCACTGCGGCATGGTATCTCAGTGGGCTAGCACTATAAAACCAGCTTAAGTCTGGGCTAGTACAAGCAGCCGCACATACACATACACACACATGCACGTTGTCATACGAGCGAAATATTCTCAAGCACGACGTTAAACCCAATTTCACCTCACCTCACATTCTGTTGCAATGATGACTTAGCATTACGCCATTGCCATAAACGTATTTGCATACATTTTTGTAAAATGGTCTGACTTTTCTCTTGATTGTAAACAAACTCTTTGGTAAAGAGAGTTTCATGTTATAATGTGATGTTGACTGATGTTGATGTTGTCCCCCTCCAGCAACGCCACTCCGTGAAGCTGCTGAATGTACTGAGGCAGATGCCCCAGAGGCACGGACCAGACGAGTTCTTCAGTTTCCCAGGAAAGAAGGGATCGGTAACTATCTCACGCATCTGTATTTTTTTCATATGTATGATTTTGTTGAATTTGTTGACATCATAAATTGAATCTTGGGATTTTCAGTAATGACTGTTCATCATTAGATGAGGGATAAGAACATGTCCGAACATTCCTGTGGATTATTTGAAGTATGACCAATGATAGGGAACTACAGGTACAATGATTTGTTCTTCTTCACACCTGCTTATTGTGAACTGTGTTATATTTCAGCATATTGCCTTGCCACCCATCAAGAACTGGCCCTACCAGAATGGCTGGACGTTCTCATGCTGGATCCGGCTAGATCCAGTCACAGGGGTCAATGTGGAGAGAGAGAAGCCATTCTTGTTTTGGTCAGTATACATTCTTTAACATGAGACCCGTGAATGTCCGAGTTAGAATGAATCTTCAGTAACCCATGCTTGTCGTAAGAGGCGACTAACGGGATCGGGTAGTCAGGCTCGCTGACTTGGTTGACACATGTCATCGGTTCCCAAATGCGCAGATCGATGGTCATACTGTTTATCACTGGATTGTCTGGTCCAGACTTCATTATTTACAGACTGCCGCCATATAGCTGGAATATTGCTGAGTGCAGCGTAAAACTCAACTCACTCACTCACTCACTCTTAAACATGAACTGATAATTGCTTTCAGGACCGAAAGATCGTGGTGAACTTTGTCAAGCTACATCTCTTGACACCTTGTGGCAAGGAGGCTGTTGGGTCCCTTGTTGTTGAATGCTTGACATCAAACAATATTTACTCCAGATGCCTCCAAGCCACCTGTGCTTCAATCATGCTTGACATCAAACTATACTTGCTCTAGATGGCGCCATGTCTTCAGCACTAGATTCATACTCGGAACAGAGTTTGTTATGTGACTCCGTGTAAATGTGATATTGGCTGGAAATTTGTTTTCCACTGCTTCAAACAGCATTACTCCAAATGCATTAACTTTGAGATATGGTAGTTCTTATCACAGTGAATTTCAAGTTGTTTGTTCTCTGTTTCAGTTTTCGCACCAGTAAGGGTGTTGGATACTCTGCACACTTTGTTGGCGAGGCACTTGTCATCACCTCCATGAAGATCAAGGGCAAAGGGTTCCAAAACTGTGTCAACTTCAACTTCGCTCCACGGAGGGTTAGTCTTAGTTCCTCATGTGAGAACATTCTGTGCTTGTCTTCCAGAACATTTGCTACTGGCAAACAAGGATAAGTTGGACCTGCACAGAGAATGCGTTTACGAGAAGTAGGCAGTGCATGGCAATGAGCAAACCCAATTGGTTTGGGAAAGGTAGAGCAGATTTAGGCTAGTGCACGTGCATTGCATGACGATGAAATTGATTCCGCGTGTAGCTGCACACGCCTTTGCTCATAAGACTCTCACGTCGGGTAGGCGTAGCAAGTCGCACTACACATGATCAGGTCAGTGCTCAACTTATCCTTGTTTGCCAGTGAAAGGTTGTAAACCAGACTTTAACATCTCCCTCACTCACTGACTTCTCGCCTTGTATTGCAGTGGTACATGGTGACCATCTCCCACGTGTACAACCGATGGAGCAAGTCTGAGATCAAGTGCTATGTTGACGGACAGCTTGTATCATCAGCTGACATGTCATGGCTTGTCAGCACCAGTGATGTAAGTAGTTTTCTTCAGATCTTGTCATAGGTTTATACAGAGTTGTGTCCCTTTGCTGACAGGATCAGCCTGCACATCATCAGTACTTCATCGGTATCTGTACACTACCTTCATCCATGGGGAATAAATAGAGCCTAATAGTGCAGAAGCGATATTTGTCTGTTTTAAGTCAGGTAATGAAATGCAGCAAACCAGGGGTTCAATTTTTTTTTAAAAGCCACTTGCCACAGGGCAAGTGACTTTAAGAAAGTAACTTGTCCTGACTAATTTTCCACTTGCCCTGATTTTATGACATAATTATGATGATGTAATTATGAAAGAATAAATCAACATGGTATTTGATGTTAATGTTTACTGGACTATTTATTGAAAAGTGATAAATAGCAAAGAAAGATAACTCTACTTTATTATCATTGCAAAATGTAATAGCTACATTTTGAGCAGATATGAAATTAAATCCAAGTTTATTTGCGGTTTGAAACCATAAGTGGAAATTATCTAGTATCCCACGGACAAGTAAGATACCATTATTTGATTGCCCGAAATGAAAACTGACTTGTCCCGGGCGTCGGGCGATGGGATTTTTTAACCCCTGCAAACCCTCGTAGAAGTCAGTTTAGCTGAACACCATGGGACCATCTTCACGGTGAAGTCGTGAGTGGCTTCCTCGAGATAAGAAGGTCAATGATCCATTCTTCATCCACATCATACCAACAGACATTAAAAGATGGTACTTCTCATCATTGGGATAAAACAAGGAGTGGTCAGTTTGGAGGCAAGAAAGAAAAACACACAGAGGCACACAGGCCTCTCTTTGCTTAATACTGAGGAAGTGCTGAGAGCAGTCGTCTTCAAGGAATATTATGGAAGTGATCTAGCATACTCTTTGTCAGATCATTGTGTTAGAACTAATGACTACACTGCAATGCCTCTTTATATATTCATACATGGGTGAAGGCAGAACATAGTGTATAGACACTTGAAAAGTGTTGCTGGGCATCAGTTTGAGTTCCTGTTGTGGTGCATGCTGTCAGCACTAGCCTCACAGTTATTTATTTCACTGAATATGAACATATATGACTAACATCTGTCAGGTTTCCCTAAAATTGTACCCTACAGTTCTGATACAGCAGAAATACACGTAGAAACTTAGAAACTTTAATTTCTTGAGTTGGTTCGGGAACCTGTCTGTTCAGAATAAAAACAAACTTTCAAAAATCGTAAACTCTGCGTCTAAAATTATTGGGCTTCCTATCGAAAGTATCGGCAGTTGTTATGATCAGCAAATTTAAAAAATGGCAAACAAAATTTAAAGTGATCCTACTCACATACTCTTTTCTGAATATTCATCATTACCTTCTGGACGCAGGCTGCGTATGCCGACTTTTAGAACAAACAGGGTTCGCCACTCATTTGTTCCAGCTAGTATTAGATGCATTAACAACAAATTCTGTGAATGATTTGTCTTTTAATTGTGAAAAATTCTATTCAATATCTATGTTTGTGTACTAAATTGATGTATTTGTATCCTGATTATTTCATGATTACCAATTGCAATGTTATGTATGGCTGCTTTATGAATGAAAAACTGGAGAACGTATGATGCAAAACAAATTTCCCTTGGGACAATAAAGAATTATCTTATCTTATCTTATCTTATCTTATCTTATCTTATCTTATCTTATCTTATCTTATCTGCTTATCTTATGAATCTTAGCACCCTTTCACTGCTGGATGAAGAGCACCATAGTGATCCAAAGTCTCATGCCTTTGGAGACACTGTTATTTTGTGTCTGAATATATTTTAACATTGATACTTTTGATCATGTTCATAACCTAAACTGTCTCCCAATCATAAGCAAATGTCCCATCACATATATTTTCAGCCATTTGACAAGTGTTACCTGGGGTCCAGTTCCGATGGCGACATGGACCACATGTTCTGTGGTCAAATGTCCACTGTGTACCTGTTTAGTGAGGCCATCCAGCCCCACCAGGTTGTGGCCATGTACCAGCTTCGGTCCAGGATACAAGGTACAATGTGCTTGTTGAAGTTGAAGTCAAGGAATATTTTTTCAGATGTGATAATTTGCTTTGTGAATGTGCTGAATACACAATGCCATTTAGAGAGTGGTCATATGTAACACATGTTATATTTGGGATTACACTTTCTCAGTGATGGCTGAGTTGGTTAGGTGGCTGACTTCCTGTGCTGGTGATTAGACGCCTGGGGTGTGGGTTCGAATCCTGGATGGGACTCAACCCAACAAAAGTACTGGAATCTGTACTTCATTGAGAAAGATTAACCTCAAATATAAGAATGTGATTTTGCATAAGACAAATGTTACAAGTAACCTTACGTCAAAGACAAACAGTGATAATTGTTATGCAGTTTTTCTGCTGGTTATTAGCAAGTGTAATGGTTATGGGATCCAACTCACTATTAATCTAGTTGATCACTGGATTGTCTTATGCAGAAGAATTTTTTGCATGACTCAGTTAGTTTTCAGATGAAATACTGTGTAATGGTTACACATGATGCAGCTCACTATCAATCTTGTTGATCACTGGATTGTCTGGTCCAGACTCCGTTATGAATCCCACATGACCACCATGTGTAAGCTGGAATATTGCTGAGTGAGCCATGTTGCTGGAATATTGCTATAAGCAGCCTAAAACCAAACTCACTCACTCACTCACTCACTATTGATCTCACTATTACCTCATGTGTGGTCCATGATTCCACCCCTGCAACATTATACCCATAATTGTGTAAAGATGGTACTTGTTGTTGCCCAGCCTGATGCCTGGCTTTAAGGGTGTGAAGCAAGGACTGGCTTGGTGAGAGTCAGCATATTGTGTCTGAGTGGGGTGTCCATGGCATCTCAGTGAGCTAGTACAATAAGACCAGCATATGCCTTAACTAGTACAAGCCACGACTCACACACACGTGCATAGCTAAATAAACGCATCGCTAAATAAGTGAAAAAATCTTTTACGCGATGTTAGACTCCATTTGACCTCCCCACGACCTGTACCAACATACCTGCATACCACCTACCTGTATTCTCACCTGTGTTCTCACCTGTTCTCCATCTCTACAGAGCCAGTTTAGGTTTGACAATGAGAGTCTGGCCTCACTTAACGATGCCGCCAAGAGGGTAGGACGTGCTGTAGTCTGCATGTGTACTTCTGTATGGTAGTCGGGCTCCATAGTTTGCATGCTACACCTTGGTTCTGTTTCTGTTACTGCAGGGGTTACAGCATAGGTTGTGACACTGTTAGCATTGTGGAAAGATAAGTCCAAATATATGCAAGCCTTGCTCATAAAATAAGACCATTTTATGTTAAGTCAAGAAGTTTTCTTAAATTATTTCTCTGTATGGTATGTGGCAGAGTAGATTCAGACGTCCAATTATACCAAAGCCTCTTTGTGGCCAGTTTAAAATCCAAATGTACTGTTGTCCAAAATCTGTTGTCAACTGAAAGAATGGCTATGTTGACCTAAGTCCGCTCCCAGTTGTCTTGACAACTTTTTTGGGTACCTTGTAAAATGTTCTCATTGTCGTGTTGAAAAAATTGAACCAAATGTCTTTGCAAAGTCAAGTCTAAGACTGAGATGGCAAATGAGAGCAGTATTTTCAGGAGTAATAAAAGCAGAGTCATTTAAATTTATGCATGTTAACCCCTGGAGTTGTGCTGTACAAGTTCATAGAAACACTCACATGTTTTATTAAAATGTTATCAATAAACCCACTTTGATTCTAGGTTATATACTGGGGAATAGTAATTGCAACTGTTTCAACTGAGTTCCTAAATAAGTTAATTTGATTCCATATAAAAGAAAGGTCTTTCTTTTTTGCTTAAAGAATTGACATTAATAAAGTTAACTCTGTGTTATATATCATAGACTGTTTGAAAGACATTGTTCAAAAACTCCTCAGAAGGGTCTACTGTGAACATTCCACCATATCCTGGGAACTGCTGTGGAAGACAGATGATAATTAAATATGGAACATGCTTTCTAACCAATTTTGGGGTAATTCACAGACCAAATATAGAACATGTTTTCTAACCAATCCCAAAGTTGGTTCATGGACCAATTATAGCTGCATAGGTAATGTAAAGGATGGTACCTATTGGATGATGTGGTTCAAGCTAAGTTTTACTAACTTGAAAATCAAGATGTCAGACTGAATATTGTATGAAGTGGTTATTCCAGAGCAAAATTTTCTTGAAAAACATCATTGAAAGGTTTGTGAAGAGCCCGCATGTTGTGAGGAGACATGTTTGCCATGGCTGAGTCCTGGCTCTTTCAGTTTTTGTAGTCCAAGAAAACCTTTGTGTTACCATTATTTTTGTCCATCTAACTTCAGTATATGTGTTGAAGGAGGGCTTTTCACCTGTCTTTCTGTTGTGGATATATGGGTAGTGGTGTAGTGTACCGTATATTACCATCTATAAGCCAACCCCATAGATATAAGCGGTGGGTAGCCTAGTGGTCGCGTTGGCTCGTCAAGCCAAAGACCCAAGTTCGAATCCCAACATGGGTACAATGTGTGAAGCGCATTTCTGGTGTCCCCCGCCATGATGTTGCTGGAATATTGCTAAAAGCGGCGTAAAACCAAACTCAGTCAGTCAGTCAGTCATAGATATAAGCCAACCCCCAAACTTGACCCTTAAAATCAGGCCCTTGTACGGACTGCTTTTTTGGATCATCAAAATTCAGCTTATAGACGGTATTATACGGAAATTAACATTCAGTTTATGCTTCCTAACTAATACTTACAGCACTGCGTGCACCAGCTCTTCACATCTTACTGATGACATCTCAAATATTTTGTTGGTATCCAATCTACATGTGATTGCATGTTCATATTGATATAGAATTTTTCCCAAGCACTGATTTGTTTAAGCACTGCACTGAAATGTTGATTGCAACTCATTATTGTTTTCACATTGTTGAGTGTATGCATGTAAAGAAATCTCACATGGATTATCAGGGACAGAATCCACCAATGATATTGTCAAGCTTTGGATTTGCCCTGGTTTTGATTGTTGGTTTGTCAGCTTCCTGCTCTGCAAACATGGAGTTCTTTTCATGCCACAATTTAACTGATTACTGTTAAAACTTAGTCTCATTTTCTAGATGATGAATTGTTAATCATAGACTTGAGAAGTTACAAATTTTAAAACTTATCCTATCTCACAACTTGCACCTCTCTCTCTTGCTTCGACTTTTAGTGGAACGACTGTAAACTTTTTTCCATAGGCCTCCTTGTCCATTCGCCCGTGCACTCCATGCTGCTCTCCTTAATTAGCTTCCTAGTTCCTAATAAAGCTTGCAACATGCTCCACTAATTGCCCACGTGACTACCTTGAATGATCATTCTCTTTCTTGTCGCACGACTGTGTGGACATGCTGTATATTAGGGACATTATTTCACCCTTACATCATGGGGAAAACTGATAATCAGTCAAGGAAAAGGAAATTTTGTGCTCAATGCAAGACAAATTATTCGTCCCTCGACTCTCACTCGTCTTGCAGTGACTGTATTGGACAATGTAACTGGAACAAACGATGTGGCAAGTGTAATTCACTAAAAGATGAGGATTTTAAGGCCTTCCAAAGTTCGTATCACCAATCCCAGACTCCTTGGCGTGGGACCTCGATTCGTTGGGAATATCATGGCAGGGTCTCAATGCCTACGCGTTCCCCCTCCAGCTCTGCTACCAAAAGTAATACAGAAACTATTGGCCACCAGCAAAATACTACTGGTTTTGGTCGCACCCTTCTGGCCAGCAAGAAGTTGGTTCGTCAACCTAAGAAGCCTGGCAGAGTCAAACCCAGTACCGCTTCCCAACCGGGACGACCTGCTTCTTCACCCTCACTCAGAACTGCGCCATGAGTCACTTTAGACCCTTAATCTACACGTTTAGCGCATCTTCAGAGGTCTCTCATAGCTAAGGGCTACTCTCGCCGAAGTAGCCACAGCTATCACTTCAGCCACTTCAGCCAGCTCATCGATGCCGACCCGCTCCTTGTACGACAACAAGTGGAAGAAGTTTGAAGACTATTGCAAGGTTAGGGGAATTGCATCTCCCACTTCCACCTTGGCTCAGGTCGTTGCTGAGTTTCTCCAGCATCTCCGCACTACTAAGAAACTCAAGGGTACTACGTTAGCTACCTACTTAGCCGCCATCAACTCAGTTTTGGCTACCACCACGTACACAAAGATTTCTGTTCCCGAGTTGCAGAGTCTACTACGCTCCTATAGACTCTCTGACCAGTCCAGGAAGTTCAGACCTCTGGCCTGGGATCTGTCCGTGGTCCTTCGTCATATGATTTCTACAGATTATGAACCTTTAGAAGACAAGGACTTCGAACAAGTGACATTCAAGACATTCTTCCTGGTAGCTTTGGCTACCGCTGCTCGTATATCTGAACTGCATGTGCTTGATGTCAATCGGGTGTGGTTCGAGCGGAAGAAGCATTGCAAGGCTTTCCTGGGTCTCCGCTGGGACTTCATTGCGAAAAACCAACTGCCAGGGCAACCAGACCGGATGTTTACCATTTCCCCGTTGTCCACCATTCTTGGGCCTGATGATAATGAAGATTTGACACTCTGCCCTGTTAGGGCTCTACACATTTACCTTGCTGCCTCCAAGGATCGTTGATGGCTACAGAAGCGCCTCTTCATACCCTTGTCGAACGCTTCAAGAACTGAGGTTTCCCGGACCACATTGGCCTTCTGGATGCGTGCCATGAACCTGCGAGCCTACACATTTACAGGTTGCCTCCTCCAGCCGCTGTCAATCCTCATGAGACTCGTGCACTAGCCTCAAAAAATGGCCCTCCATAGCAACTGCTCCTTGACCGATATCATGGAAGGTTGCTTCTGGCGTTCTGATACAGTCTTCTCTTCACATTACCTGCGAGACCTGTCTGTCAACGGATGTCCAGGGACTACACCAGTTCGGACCTCTTGTACTGGCTCAGCAGCTTACATCGGCCCAACAACACAGATGAGGGAGGGTTCCGCATTCGCGGTTACTACTTCCTTGTATATACTGAATAAAAGTTGAACTGGATCTCAACCTTTTGTTCTCATTATATGGGTTTAAGAACTACTTCACTTGGCCTCCATACCAAGGCATCGGAATACGGCCACCTAGCGTGGCCCTACGGACCTGAGGCACAATCAGTATGACGATGCAGAGGTGTTCGACATTCACGCTTACTGACCTCTACTCCACGGAGCAATTACGTCAGTGAAGTGTGACACTCCCGAATTCCAGTGGATTTCATTGCGTTCTGCCTCCAAAGTTGCCGGGCACATAGATGCCGAGTTGTGTTTCTCTTTCAACCGCCTCGGTCGGTGTCTGTGGGGCCTTCTTGAAGCAGCGGCTGGCCCGATTCTAGTCGCAAGACTTTAATTACAGGGGTACCTTGTAAATCGTGGCGAGGCGAGGCTTACTTGCCGAGTTGCATCCCTTGTCTTGTACAAGGTTGCGGCCGAATGCCACATCTCTCGGGAGCACCCATCTCCCTGGGAGTCGGTGTGCTTAGTAAGCCAAGGGGTTCCGGAGAACCCACTACAAGCATAGGAGTTGCGTGCATGCGTAACAGGCCTCGCTTGTACATCGCTATCAACGACCAGCTGTTCGCACTGTCCAGACAGAAGGGTTATCTGCGGCCTGCCGTCCCACCGTTGGATAAGTTCAGGTCGTGAGATAGGATAATTTGGAAATTTTAATTTAAATTGTATATTTATATACTTATCCTATCTCACGCGATGGATGCCCGCCTAGCCTCCCCACTACTCAGATTACAACGTTGGCTCCACGATGAGAATGTTCATTCAAGGTAGTCACGTGGGCAATTAGTGGAGAATGCTGCAAGCTTTATTAGGAACTAGGAAGCTAATTAAGGAGAGCAGCATGGAGTGCACGGGCGAATGGACAAGGAGGCCTATGGAAAACAGTTTACAGTCGTTCCACTAAAAGTCGAAGCAAGAGAGAGAGGTGCAAGTCATTAGATAGGATAAATATATATATATATACAATTTATATTAAAATTTCCATTTTTTATGTGAAATAAAAAGGTCCTTGAACATTTGACAGCAAAATACTACAAAATATAATTTGAAACATTATTCCAAACACGACAAGAAAAAATCAGTATATTATTTTTAAAAATTTGAATGGTAAAAAAAGACTATCTATGGTGGTGGGATAGCCTAGTGGTAAAGGTGTTCACTTGTTAGACCAAAGGCCTAAGTTTTTTTTCACCTCAAAGTACAAAGTTACTCCTAGGCAAAATGTAGAGATAACATCATTATCAGGTAATATGATACACCAGGCCTTATCACCCATACTGCATATCCTGACCATGTTGAACATCAGTGCTTGTCACCTCCCATTAGACCATGCGGTAATACTCATGCAGTTGGTGTATGAACACGTGGACACTGTTTCAACAGTGGGGTAAACCTTGTTTGTTTTCAGCAACCTGATACATTCTGTGTCTAGTTCCACATTGACAAGAATCTCTGGAGGGTGGGAGTTGTCATACCAATTACTGGATAACGCTTTTACTGCTGCTGAGAGATCCTAAAGATAGGGACTTTTCTAACATTTGGCCTAGGACTAAAGTGTAAAGCCCATTTGTAGTGTCTCTCACAGTCTCTTTAAAGTGGCATTAAACCCAACTCGCTGACCTACTCCAGTGGGACACTGGGAATAGTAATGGTGGAAGCTGACATGTGGTGCTTTTGTTAGAGGGGCTGCTTGTTCTGATGCTCATATTTAAAGTTGTGTTCGTGGAGGGAATTACAAACATGAAGTCTGAGAAAACAGGTGTTGTGTTGGCAGAACGTCAACCAGCAGTTGGCCATGTTGTAGGTAAACTCGGTGCATTTGGGTAGCCTAATGGTTAAAGCATTCATTCATCACACTGACGACCTGAGTTTGTTTCTTCACATGTGTACAATGTGTAAAGCCCATTTCTGGTGTTACCCATCATTATTATTACTCAAATATTGCTAAAAGCGGCATAAGCCATACTTACTGACTGTAGGTTAACTCTGCAGCTTTCATGTTGTTGTGGTGTTTGTCCTCAACTAACCCCTAAACTCTGTCTCTAATACATTGGGTTCCATAAACCATTTGTCTTCAGTTCCTGACACTTTTCAACTGATTGGGGCAGCATGTATGGAACTGTCGAAATACACTTCTGTGAATTATGTTAAAATAAATATATTTATTATTCATATCCACCACCAGAGATGTTCATGGTTGATCTAAGTGATCAGATAAAAGTTAATTTAACAAGTTCATATTGGTGTAATGTTTACCTGAAAACTACTAAGTTCCATTAACTGTATAAATTTACAGATTGTTAAAATAGAAAAGTAGTCCTCACTAAGATTAGTGTAGTAACAGTTCAAGTATAATGTGCGGAAGACACCTTTGTATATTCATCAAGGACAGGGGAAGTTTTTTCAACTTGTCGCTGTGTTTTCTCTCATACAGAAATGAACACCTAGATGGTTCATCCCTGACCATGTTCTGATTTCTAGGTCCTGTATGATGGACGACTGACCAACTCCATCGTGTTTATGTACAACCCCATCGCCTGTGACAGTCAGCTCTGTCTTGAGTCTTCACCTAAAGGAAATCCCTCGTACTTCTTACATTCCCCACATGCTCTGATGACACAGGTGAGTTTCTGGTGGTAATAGATGACTGTAGCGTGACTTGGTGGCCCATTGGTTGATTTTTCTCTCTAGCCTCACCAAGGCCTGGGTTTGTTTCTAAGAAAAAGACTTATTATACAGTTGAGTGTCTGGTGCAGATATTAGGCTGCCATGAAACAGGATGGCCCAGTGGTTTGAGTGGTCTGAAGCCTGGGTTTCATTCCCATGAATGGGTGATGATATATGCAAGGCTCTGGTGGTAATAGTCATCTAGTAGGGTGGTCCAGTGGTTTATGTGGTCTCTAGCCTCACTGACACCAGAGTTTGAATCCCATTAGTCTTTCCTGACATGATGAGGCTCCATTGATGCACATCAATGTGTGGTCATATGGAGTGAAGTTTAGTGTCTAAGTATTAATTCTTACAAATACACCCCTCTATCATTTAATTGTCTTTTTACCTGAAACTTTTTCTGAATCCACTGATTTAATTTGAATCAATTATAACACCAATGATTTGTGTTGTCGTTCTTCCTTTTGGTCCACTTTATGCTATCTACAGGAGTTCAGTGGGGTAGCCTAGTGGTTAAAGCGTTAGCTCATCACGTTGAAGGCCCAGGTTCGATTCCCCACATGGATACCTTGTGTGAAGCCCATTTCTGGTGTCCCCAGCCATGATATTGCTGGATGCAAGCCGTGATAAGACTGATGACTGGATGACAAAGTATAATACTAACATTGCAGACCAACAGTTACATTATTGTGTTTATTTCAGGATGTCAAGGCTGTGATCACTCATTCCATACACAGCACGCTCCACTCTCTGGGAGGGATACAGGTGAGATCATTGCAGTATCTTTACACCATCACACCTGTACATCACTGTTCATCACCTTCTCTCATCAACTTCATCACATCTTCCTGCCATCACACCTCATACTTTCACACCATCGCCACTCACACAACATGTGTCTATGAATAACTTAAAATAGCCTCTTATATATAATTCTGATTCTCCTGTTTTAATTTTGAGTTTAATACATGTTCCCACGCCGTGATATTGCTGGAATTCCTAATGTGTCATCCTAAGATCATGTGTTGTGTTGCATAAGGCACTTCTCCCACTGCAGACAACAACCTGACCCTCTGTAAATATTGCAGATCCTGTTCCCCCTGTTCGGGCAGCTGGACGCCCCAGTGGACCGAGGACCCAAGGAGGAAAGTGTGGTGGACAACACAACATGGTAGGAACCACTAGATACATTGTGGGGAAATGAAGCTGCAAGCCAAGATGCCCTCGTAACCCTAAGGCAAAGAAAAAGCTACAAAGCTATAGCAGGGGACCAGTGTTCCCAGGACCACAGTGTATTGCAAACATGGCTGTCATGACATGCAATAATAAGGGATGAGAATTTTCCGCGGATCCGCGGAATTCCGGGAATTTCATATGGCAAGGGTCATTTTTGTGAATCGTCTAAAAGCCTGCCGCCCCCAGACCCCGGCTAGTTTTCAGAGTTTTTCTCCAAACTTCATTCTCATCCCTGAATAATGTCCATGTAATAATGTTCAAGTACTTTGTACTCTAAATTTCCAGAAGCATAACAGGGGCATGTTTCAGTGTGTTCAAATTATGATAGAAGAACATGGATGGACCAGTCATCTAAGTGGCTGCAACTTGCAGTGCAGAGTTATGTCCCTTGAGCCCACCTGAAAATCTGAGTTGCGGGTTTGAATCACGGTGCAGCCTGTTTGTTTCTTGGTTTGTCAGCAATGGGTTTCATGAAAGAAGCTTAGAACTTCTGTGAGATTATTAAAGAAACTTTTCTACCTAAATGTTATCGTCGTCAAATAATCACAAGGTACCATTTGCCAGTCAGTCTTCTTAAGCATCAAAGACCCGTGAAGATCCAGGTTAGAATTGACCTTCAGTAACCCATGTTTTTGTCCCAAGAGGCGACTAAAGGGATCGGGTGGTCAGGCTCAATGACTTGGTTGACACATGTCATCATATCCCAATTGCGTAGATCGATGCTCATGCTGTTGATCACTGGATTGTCTGGTCCAGACTCGACAGTCCGCTGCCATATCGCTGGAATATTGCTGAGTGTGGCATAAAACTAAACTCACTCACTCACTGACTCTCAGGTATCAAAATTGTATTTAGTTCGTTTTAACATGAAGACAGTGATCCTCTCCTGTGAAGTGTAAACTAATGTGTGATATTTGTGCAGTGCCTCCCTGATGAGCCTGCTGTGTGAGCTCCTGGAGAGTTCCCTCAACATCCAGCAGCAGTTCATGCAGAACCGAGGGTTCCTCGTCATCAGCTACCTGCTTGAGAAGGTAATGAGATTATAACAGTCAAATAACTGGTATACATAGAATTACAAGGGTTTGAGGCTTTTTAACAAATTGCAGAGAGTCAAATGGAAGGACTGGCAAAGTACATCACCCAAATGTTTCACTAGACCTGGTGTTGGACTTGCGGTCTGTAACACCTTATATTCTCATGTTGATATTCATGCAAGTAACACAGAGTCCCCACATGTTACACATGTAACACGTGTATCCCACCAGTCATCCTGATATTTGAGTGAAATATTCCAACCACTCATCCCAACCAGGCTTGGGGCTGCAATGTGATGTGTCCCTTGGACATTAGTATCCTGATACAGGCTCATTATGTTTCAAGTGCTGCCAAACCCCTTCTGGATTGAATTCTGATTGTTTGATTTGTGTGAAGTAGTATAGGAGATTCAGAGCTGAATAAATAGGAGTCAGAGTGACAAATTAGATGGGATTCAGGGCAGTGATGGAGTTGCATCTTCTTTTTACTCTGTTACTTTCATAGTCTACTTTTTAACCATTTCGGTCACCATCTGAGACCTGCAGTACTTCATCATGCTGAAGGGACGGTGGGGTAGCCTAGTGGTTAAAGCTTCCGCTCATCATGCCGAAGAACCTGGTTCGATTCCCCACATGGGTACAATGTGTGAAACGCATTTCTGGTGTCCCCCGCCGTGATATTGCTGGAATATTTGCTAAATGCTGTGTAAAACTTAACTCACTCACTCACTCACTCACTCACTCACTCACTCACTCACTCACTCACTCATGGTCACATGCTGTGATATAGCAAATATTGTCTAAAGCAGTGTCAAATCCAACTCACTCTCTCATCCCACCATTCACACTTCAGTCTGTCAGAAGTTGCTCTGATTAGCCTCATCGTCATCAACCTTTCCCACTGATGTGCAGAACTGAAGAACCTGTTCTCGACCTCTTGTGTTTCAGTCATCACGGGATCACATCACCCCGTCTGTGTTGGAGGCGTTCCTGAAGCTGACCAAGTACCTCGTGGAGCTCCCCACAGGGGGACTTCTTCTCAAGCACCTGTTTGACTACATCCTCTTTAACCCAGCTCTGTGGGTACATGCAACTGTCGAGGTAAGCTGTTATCGTCTACATGATCTGAAAATTATTTGCAAGTTTAGGTGAGTGATGCAGGAAATCATAGTTTTAATTTGTGAAGCTGAAATTGCAATTTTTATTGCAATTTTGTCATTTTTCTGTGAAATGAATTTTGAAAGTTCTCTTCCTTAAAATGTTTGGTATGTATTTTGTACTGACTTAATTTAAACAGAGATCACACACTTGAACTTGACAGTCTTGACTGCACCTGAACCCAACTCACTCTCTCACTTAAAGCTATGCCTCTTCCCAGGTCCAGACCAAGCTTTACTGTTACCTAGCAACAGAGTTCATCAACGATGCCAACATCTACAACAACATCCGCCGAGTGAGTGCGGTGTTGCAGACAATGCACACTCTCAAGTACTACTACTGGGTCATCAATCCAATGGACAGAAGCGGCATCACTCCCAAGGGGCTTGGTAAGACTCACAACCTGACAATAAACAGTTGTCGGCAGTTCTCAGTGACAAAAGCCGCACAGTCCCGGTGCAAGGTTGTATTCCCCTGCTCGGGATTGATAAAACCCGTCCACTGAGACACGCGATGTGATCGTTATTTCCATCGATCCCCAGCCAAATGTTTTAAGCGAATCAACTTGTTTATATTTATTTGAGATGCCATGTTGACACCAGCTGCTCGGCATTGATTCCAAGGACTGTTACTAAAGGCTAGGGAGTCAGTATCTCACTTGTGTCTGAGTGGGGACATGCTTCACATGGTATCTGCTACCAATAAACCAGCTTCAGTCGTGGTTCTCAATACAAAACTCGACATTCTTACATGAGGCTGGATAATAGACAGTTGTCATGGTTCTCAGTGACAAAAGCACAAGTATTTATTTCTGCTGTCATAAAAATAAAATCTCACGTGTGGATATTTGTATTGAACCCAAACAATGATTGCCTTGGAATAATTGTAATGAGAAATTAGTCAATTATGAGACATTATTTGGTGTATCACTGTCTGATCACTGTCTGCTGTTGTAGATGGAGAAAGGCCAACGCGGGATGAGATCGTGAAGCTGAGGTCGTTCATGTTGCTGTATGTGCGGGAGCTGATACTGAAGGGGCAGGGGATCCTGGAGGATGAGCTACAGAGCATCCTCAACTACCTCACCACCCTACACGAGGTGAGGACCACGGCCACAGCATTTGTTGGCAGTGTTTATTAAGAGAACATTGGTTTTGTCTAAAGTGTGTTAGGGAACGGGAATTGGAGTGGTGCTTTATACGCGGAATATTGCATTCTTCACTGTCCAGATTTTCTGACTATTTGTAACTATTATGGCGGCAAATGAAATGTGACATGGAATCCAGCTCAACATGAACACCAGATTTGTTTTGAATTGTGAATAGTGAAGTGAATCTAAAGCTCAAATATTGTGAGATCCAAGTCCACATCTTCTTCGGTTTTAGTTTTATAGTTTTCCACAATGGCTCTGATTGTGGTCATTGAACTATGACCATGTCGAACCGTGAAGATCTGGGTTAGAACTGGTCTTCCACAACCCATGCTTGTTGTAAGAGGTGAAACCCCTAGGTGACTAACAGGATCGGGTGGTCAGGCCCGCTCACATGTCAATTTCTAGGATGCTCATGCTGTTGATCACCGGATTGTCTGGTCCACACACTATTATTTTCAAACTGCCTCCATATAGCTGGAATATTTATGAGTACGGCTGTCTGTATATATGTGTGTTTGACAAACAAACACCCAAACAATATGACCATGTTGTTGCTTGTCTGTATATATGTGTGTTTGACTGCAGGATGATAACCTGATGGACGCCCTGCAGCTGATGGTGCAGCTCATGGCGTCCTGCAGAACATCCATGGATTCCTCCATGGTGCCCGCAGGATGATAACCGACAAGAAGCATGGTGTTTGAGTCAGGATGATAACCTGATGGGCCATTGTCAGACTTCATTGGACATCAGGCTATTTCCAGTCAATGACAACCTGGTACTGGTGGCAGGATATGCAAATGATAAGTCCCTTCTGCATTCTCATGCAGATGATCCTTCCTCCAAAGAAGCAGGGAGTTTTTCAGAATACATCAGGCGGTCAAATTTAAGTAAATTCTGCATCCCATTTTTCAAAATTCTGGAAAGAAATCTGCAGTTAAAAACTTGAAACAAAGCACAAAATTATGCAATTTCAATCTTCAAAAAGATCGATGTTGTGAACATTATTGCAGTGTCAAATTCAAATAATTTTATTGTAAGGTGCTTAAGAAAATATTACCTTGTGAATAAATCATGTTTATTCGTTATTTTGAAAATATCATATAACAAATGTCTCAGTTCGTTTTTGTGTAACTAATCATACTTTTGCCTTTTCCCCTACTTTTTGTCTTGGTTGATAGTCAATCTTGATTCAGCTTTAAAAATAACTAAATTCTGAGGCAGAAAAATGGCAAATTCTGCAGGTATTCTGCATGATTTTTTCTGCATCAAAAGGTAATTTCCGCAATTTATTCTGCAACCGCTGAATTCAAGAGGGACTGAAATATTGAACTTAAAGATTTGGTAAAAATTTAGTAATTTGAAATTGCTAAATCTTGGCTGACATGCATCATGTTTCGCAAGTGTATACTGAGTGTTTCTGTGTTGTAGATGTGTCTTCAAGCTGCTGGGTTCAGCCAATGAGGACATCCGTATCCACACACTGAAGCTGCTGGGCTATTTCTTGATGCGGAGCACCCACCGGCGGAAACAGGACGCCATGACACCTCACAACCTGTTCTCCCTCATCGGAGACCGACTCATGCTGAATGTCACCAACATATCTGTAGCCACCTACAATGTGCTGTTTGAAGTACGACTTTATGTTTGTTGTAATATGTTATTTACTCAAAAGATTACGAGAAACTTCAAGTCATCATGTACAGAACACAAAATATTGGGGATCATGAAATATTTTTGGGGATATTATTTTTGTAGTGATGACATATATTTTTTAATGTGTCCTGTACATATATTTTGTTCATGGTTGAAAATGTATACTATTCATCTTCCCTGCATTAAAGTGATGAAAGTACGGTGATGGCATCCTTTTTTGTCCACAGTTGTTGACAGAGCGTATGAGTTTAGAGATTATTCGCAACAAGCATATTGAGCCAGAATGCCACTTCCGAATTGAAAATTCAGGTAAGTGTTACAGACTGTTATCAATGCAATATCTTCAGACATTTGAACACAATGATGATAATAACTCTTAGAGTTTAATGTAGACTTGACAGTCAAGCAGTAACATGTTACTTTATCCCATACTTAAACACAGTAGTAACTCCCATAGTTTTACAAAGACTTAAGAGGGGCTAGTGCAATAGTAAAAGCTCCAGTAATTAAACATGAACTTAAGACAACCGACCTCTAACATCATAGGAGGCAGTGGTAGCCTAGTTGTTACAGTGTTAGCCCAAGTGTTCGTTACGCCGAAGACCCGGGTTCGATTCTCCACATGAGTACAATGTGTGAAACCCATTTCTGGTGTCACCTGCCGTGATATTACTGGAATATTGATAAAAGGGGCGTAAAACTAAACTCACTCTAAGATCATAGAACCTCCCAGAGGTTAGGTACTATAGACAGTCTGGCGCTAGTGAAGCATCGTGGACTGCACTAGTGAAGCAATGTTGGCATTACTTATGGTTTTCTTTCCACATTAAGCTCACATGACACGTTAGGTGATGTACCGTTCGCTCACTCACTCACTCACTCACTCACTCTGTGTTGCAGCTGTGCTGAAGGTGGTTGCGACCCTGATCCGTCAGTCCAAGGTCACCAAGGAAGTGCTGGAAGTCAAGAGGATGTTCCTATCTGATCTCACCATCTTGTGCAACAACAACAGAGACAACAGGAGGTGAGGCATGTAGCAGCAGGCTGCCAGGAATCACAGACTCTGTGTCTACAGTGAATTGATGATGTAGGCCTCAACCCTTACTATTGTCTGTGTGTTGCCAGGATAATGATGCAAATTTGGGTGTAACAGTGATGGTATTTTTTGTCTGTTACAAGAAGTAAGTGTGGCAATAATGATGTTATTTGTACCTTACAAGAAGTAAGTGTGGCAATAATGGTATTGTTGCAGTGTCAAATTCAAATAATTTTTATTGTAAGGTGCTGAAGAAAATATTACCTTGTGAACAAATCATCTTTATTCAGTTATTTTGAAAATATCAATTATAACAAATGTCTCAGTTCGTGTTTTGTGTAACCAATCATACTTTTGACATTTACCCCTAATTCTGCAGCAGAAAATGGCAAATTCTTGAGGTATTCTGCATGATGTTTTCTGCATCAAAAGGTAATTTCTGCGATTTATTCTGCAACCGCTGAATTCAAGAGGGACTGAGATATTGAACTTAAAGATTTGGTAAAATTTTAGTAATTTGAACTTACTGAATCATGGCTGAGATGATTCTTGGCTGACATGCATCATCAGTTTCACAAATGCATACCCAGTGTTTTCTGTGTTGTAGATGTGTCTTCAAGCTGCTGGGCTCAGCCAATGAGGACATCCGTATCCACACACTGAAGCTGCTGGGCTATTTCTTGATGCGGAGCACCCACCGGCGGAAACAGGACGCTATGACACCTCACAACCTGTTCTCCCTCATCGGAGACCGACTCATGCTGAATGTCACCAACATATCTGTAGCCACCTACAATGTGCTGTTTGAGGTACGACTTTATGTTTGTTGTAATATGTTAGTTACTCAAAAGATCACGAGAAATTTCAAGTCATCATGTACAGAACACAAAATATTAGGGATCATGAAATATTTTGGGGGATATTATTTTGTAGTGATGACAGTTTTTTTATCCCCATGCTAGCGTTTAGCACGAAAAGCGGGGGATATAGTATTAGGCTCTGTCGTCAGACGCATGCAATTGGAATATCTTAAGAACCGTTCACTAGATTCTTTTCATATTTGGTACCTAGGTTCATCACAGTATAAGAAAAGGTCCAAGTTAGGTTTGGTGACCTTGACCTTCATTTCAAGGTCACAAAGGGGATTTTAACGTTTTACCTGCATGTTAAGCTATCTCAAGAACCGTTCACTGGATTTCACTTCATATTCAATACCAAGCTTTATCTAGGGAAGGTGCAGGGCCCAGTCAATTTTGGTGACCTTCACATAATATTTAGGGTCACTTACTCGGCGACACTTTGAAGATTTCAGCATGTTAACCTGAATTGACAGCAAGATATTTTAAGAACGGTTTCACTGGATTTTCTTCATAGACTTTCAAGACTTCCCTTGAATGTTTTTCAATAAGCAATTTCTTTAGTACTAATTTTGCATATTTCATTTCACTATGACATTCATGTCAAGGTCAAAGTCAGTCTTGAAAATATGTGTGTTTGAACAACTAAAGAGCAAGATATCAAGAGAGGTTGACTGGTCATGTTTTTGTTGACATATAACTTCATCTTAAACTTTCATTACTTTATAAGTTTGATTTGATAATTGTGGCGGGGGATTATGTCACCTTAGTGACAATGCTTGTTTTAATGTGTCCTATACATATATTTTGTTTACGGTTGACAATGTATGCTATTCATCTGTCCCTGCACTAAAGAGATGAAATTTGCGGTGATTGCATCCTTTTTTCTCCACAGCTGTTGACAGAGCGTATGAGTTTAGAGATTATTCGCAACAAGCATATTGAGCCAGAATGCCACTTCCGTATTGAAAATTCAGGTAAGTGTTACACACCATTATCAATGCAATATCTTCAGACATTCGAACACAATGATGATAGTAACTCTTAGAGTTTAATGTAGACTTGACACTCAAGCAGTAACATGTTACTTTATCCCATACTTAAACACAGTAGTAACTCCCATAGTTTTACAAAGACTTAAGAGGGGCTAGTGCAATAGTAAAAGCTCCATTAACTTAAGACAACCGACCTCTAAGATCATAGGGGGCGGTGGTAGCCTCGTTGTTAAAGTGTTAGCCATGTTCAGATCGCCAAGACCTGGGTTCGATTCTCCACACGGGTACAATGTGTGAAGCCCATTTCTGGTGTCCCCTGCCATGATATTGCTGGAATATTGATAAAAGCGGCGTAAAACCAAACTCACTCACTCTAAGATCATAGAACCTCCCAGAGGTTAGGTACTATAGACAGTCTGGCGGTAGTGAAGCATCGTGGACTGCAAGAAGAAATGTTGGCATTACTTATGGTTTTCTTTCCACATTAAGCTCACATGACATGTTAGGTGATGTACCGTTTCACTCACTCACTCTGTGTTGCAGCTGTGTTGAAGGTAGTGGCAACCCTGATCCGTCAGTCCAAGGTCACCAAGGAAGTGCTGGAAGTCAAGAGGATGTTCCTGTCGGATCTCACCATCTTGTGCAATAACAACAGAGACAACAGGAGGTGAGGCATGTAGCAGCAAGCTGCCAGGAATCACAGACTGTGTGTCCTGAGTGAATAGATGATGTATGCCTGAACCCTTGCTATTGTCTGTGTGTTGCTAGGATAATGATGGTAACAAATTTATTGTTTGTAATGCTACGGTAAGTGTGATAATGGTATTGTTTGTCTGTTACAAGATGAGGGTGTGGCAGTAATGGTATTGTTTGTAACGTCACAAGAAGATGTGGCAATAATGGTATTGTTTGTCATCGTCAAGAGAAGTAAGTGTGGCAATAATGGTATTGTTTGTCTGTTACAAGAAGTAAGTGTAACAGTAATGGTATTGTTTGTCTGTCACAAGAGTAAGTAAGTGTGGCAATAATGGTATTGTTTGTATGTCCGTCACAAGAAGTAAGTGTGGCAATAATGGTATTGTTTGTACAGCAGTAAGTGTGGCAATAATGGTATTGTTTGTACATCACAAGAAGTAAGTGTGGCAATAATGGTATTGTTTGTACGTCACAAGAAGTAAGTGTGGCAATAATGGTATTGTTTGTACGCTACAAAAAGTAATAATGGTGTTGTTTGTATCGCAAAGTAATGGCAATAATGGTATTGTTTGTTACAAGGATGACGATACAGGTGTCCCAGTAATATGTTTCGTGTATTTCCAGGACGGTGCTGCAGATGTCAGTGTGGCAAGACTGGCTGTTCTCCATGGCCTACATCTACCCCCAGAACAAGGATGAGGAGCGCATCACGGAGATGGTGATGTCACTGTTCAGGATGCTGCTACACCATGCCATCAAGTATGAGTTCGGAGGTTGGAGAGTCTGGATAGATACTCTGGCAATCTTACACTCCAAGGTAAGATTTCTAACTCACGCCAAGCAAAATAGATAAGAGACCGTGGCCATCTTGAAGACCAGTTCTTGTAAACCCGTATTTGTTCAAATATAGATATCAAAATCTAGTTTTAAAGATGCATCACCATATTCACCATCATGGTTGACTCCTCACTCCCAAGTGTATGAGTTTCTGGTGATCACAATGGCTGCAAAGGATTGACAGTAGTTTTGACAGCTCTCTTAGTTAATTGTGGGACACAGTTAGCCTAGATTATGTTCTCCCCAGAGAGCTGAGGATGAAAATTGAACAAATACCAATCTATTGACTAGGGTAATAATAGTGAAGCACTTTGAGCATGCTCCTGTGTGAAATATTATCAAATCGATGAGTCAAATGCCGTGTCTCGAATATTATGCATAACTTCCGAAGTACCTGTCGGTCCCGACCATTCCCTGTCATAGTTGTCATCATTTGATTTCCCAGTTACACTAACTCGTCTCATAAATACACGATGACTCGAGAAGGAAATTTGGTCCCATGAGATTCAAACAACAGCAATCTTGTATACATAAGCCCGAAGTCAGTCAATGAGAAGGTGATTGGTGTAGCAAACTGATCCAATTAACAAACCAGCTGCTCTCACCTTTCCGCCATTGACGGGTGAGTTCAAAGGCAGATTAGTGATTTTACGGAAATCACTGTCTGTTCTAATCAGACTGGAACTGATAAGGTGCCCCTATTAGTGATAGAGAAATCATTAGGTAAACAAATGCTTAGGGCGGAGGAATTAGGACTGGATCATCTTTTTTCTACCCTCATACCTATGTCTCGAATACATCGATAAGTCAATTTATTACTTGGTCCACAGTGATTCGACTCATCGAGTTTGACTGTATTAGCAAATCATTATCATCATTTCCAATCTTGAGTGGTGACATTTACCTTTCTTAATTTCATTCTTTCAAGAAAACAGTGATGCTCATTGTGTATTGAGAATATGAGACTGCAAGTGGGCATAAAACTTTTATCGCTACATGGCAACACTCCAGGACAGTGAAGACTAGATACTTTCTTGAGTACAGTATCCCAAATGTCCATGGTATGTCCATCTGCTGCACAGAGTTGTCTCCCTTAGGCAATCAAGGAGCATATGATTTAAGGTTTTAATCCCAGTTTCGTCCTGATTATGCGTCTTGGAGTCTCACCAGCATCCTTTCAGACTTTCTTCCCACGTCAAGCTGACATACTGTGATATGACTGAAACACTGGTGTAAAACCCAACTCACTCACTCACTCACTAGATAGTTACATGAAGATGTTTATTGTTTTTTACCTGCTCTAGGTTGCATATGAGGACTTCAAGAAGCACATGACCAAAATGTACCAACAGTACGAACAGCAGCGATCTGACGATATCACCGATCCCCAGGAGAGGATGAACAGACCAATCAGCACCATCTCCGGGATATCGGACAATCAGGTGGAGAAGCCTGTCCCCAAGTCCTCCGTCCAGATTACTGATGTCACTGACCAGGAGGCTGTGACCAATGGGGAGAAGAGGGAAGGAGCAGACGGATCTGAAGCGCAGGACAACAAGGGCGGAAAGTCTGGAGAAGGTGATGCCAAAGGTGCCGAACCAAGTCCTGATTCTGCAACTGAGGAGGCAAAGAAGAAATACCCAGCTGAGATTGTTGAGTTTGTTGATGATGTTATAGACCAAGTTGTGACAAGAGTTGAATCAAAACGGAACACTGACAATGCTGCAAATGGTGACCAAGGGGAGGCAACTCCAGAAGCAGCTTCTGCTGAAAGCAATAAAACAAATGAGGAAGTTAAACCAAGCGAAGATGGTGCAACCCCAGCTGCCAAGATAACCCGGACTCCGTCGACTACAAGCCGAGGGGGTGAGGAACGGCGAGGGGGACGGACTATATTCAGTCCCGGTCCTCGGGCTCCCCCGTTCAGGATTCCTGAGTTCCGATGGTCCTATCTGCATCAGAAGCTCCTGTCTGACTTGTTGTTTGCTGTGGAGACTGACATTCAAGTTTGGAAGAGGTGAGCAGACATAAATATTTCGAGGATAAATTTGTGATTGAAAAAATCAATAATGATTATCCCATTTTCATTTGGCTGGTTTGTTTGTTTAATGCGGCACTCAGCAATATTCCATCTATATGGTGGTGGTCTATAAATAATCAAGTCTAGACAAGACAACCCAGTGATCAACAGCATGAGCATTGATCTATGCAACTGGGATACGATGACATGTGTCAACCAAGTCAGTGAGCCTGACCACTCAATCGTGTTAGTCGCCTCTTCTGGCAAGCATGAGTTGCTGAAGATAAATTCTAACCCAGAACTTCATGGGTCAGTTCCATTTTGAACAATAAGGGGGAGCACCTGGTATATAGGCGAACTTGGTGAATCACATATTTTAAAACAATATATCATGGTCTACAATGTGTAATATCACATGTTTCATGTATTATTTGGGTTGCTTTTTGTAAAATCTTGTTACAATGAATAGAAAATATATAATACATTTAGATGCAAAAACAGTCTGGAAGAGGTGAGTTTCTCTGATAATGACCCCAAAGCTTCGAGGAATAATTGATTTTCTGTTCTAAGTGAACTAATTTTGTCCAAAGCCTTGGCAGATAATCCATAACACTGAGATTTGACTTCAAGTTTTTATTTATCTGATTTATTTTTAGAATTGTATTTTTGTATAATCACAAGTATAGACATCAGTTATGTCAATCTATTACTCACCAAACCCTGCATTAAGCCATCTGTGATGTCTGTAATGATTCAGGACATGGAATCATTTTGAGTAACTTGGGACGCATTGCTAAGGGTCCCTATAAAGAAAATGATAACCATTTGGTGTGAACTGGTCACACTGGGGATAGATCAACTCACTTGCTTTGGCGTGTGTTAAAATTATTATGCAGCACTGTTATGAAATGGCTTTGACATTTGGCATTGCTTTATTTCACTGTTTACTATGTGTTAATTAACAGCAATCTCATCAAACCACTTGTCAAATAAACAAACTTTTGTTTATCAATCAAATGTTCTTTTCATCAGATGCATATGTATTTTGCCATGAATTTCTTTGGATGGGTTACTCAGAGATTTAGTTTTTAATTAAGCTGTGGTCAAATTGAATAACAGGGGAGGATGGGTTCAGGAGAGAGGGGATGAAGGGAAATCAGGTGGAGTTACCAAAACATGTGACTGTCTCTAGGGGGGTCTTGAAAATTAACATTGCATGATCAAATATAAAGTGCTATTACATTTTGTTCTTTATTGGCAAGGGGCGTGGGGTAGCCTAAGGTTAAAGCATTGGCTCGACAAAGACCGAGGTTTGAATCCCACATGGGCACAATGTATGAAGCCCATTTCTGGTGTCCCCCCCGTATGTTGCTGGAATATTGCTAAAAGTAAAAACCAAACTCAGTCAGTCAGTCTTTATTGGCAGGGTCTTAGAAAGAAATGTACAAGGACATAGACAGGGTCATCCAAAACCTGAACAAACAATCGGAAAGGGTCAATATTTGAGTACAGTAGCACATAAAAATTCTCTAACCCCTGCATGAATAATTACAAGTGCCATAATTCTGTTTGTTAATTGAGTTGACAAATGATTACATAGAATCAACATTTGTGTTCATCTGTACTCACAAATGTACACCACACATTGTTTTGCAGCCACAGTACAAAGAACGTGATTGACTTTGTGAACGCAAGTGAGAACCACGTGTACGTGGTGAACGTGACCCACATGATCTCACAGCTGGCAGACAACCTCATCACTTCCTGTGGCGGCCTCCTGCCCCTCCTGGCCGCAGCTACATCGCCCAATGTAAGTGTCCTGTGTTACTTCTTTCTTTGCTCTCGGCAAAGTTTCAGTTATTTCATGGTGCCGTGTAAATATTCTGGACTGGACCAATGACTGATTATGATCAATGTCTGTCACTGTTAGAAAACAATGATTTGCACTCAGCCAATCAATCAGTCGTGATGCCTGACCACATGATCCTTTTACATTGGTCCTAAGACCACCATAGGTTTCTAGCCTGCTGATTTAGTGGGTTGAGGGGGCAGTGGAGTAGCCTAGTGGTTAAAGTGTTTGCTTGTCACGCTGAAGAACCGGGTTCGATTCCCCACATGGGTACAATGTGTGAAGCTCATTTCTGGTGTTCCCCACCATGATATTGCTGGAATGTTGCTAAAAGCGAGCGTAAAACCATACTCACTCACTCACTAGTGGGTAGAACATCTGCCTAATGAGTGGAACATCAGTAGTCAGTGGTTGGTGAACACCTCAGTTGCATCTTCTCATACCCTAAACAAGCAGTGAACACATAGTTCACTATTAAAGATAGACTAAAATTGGCTGTCAGGAGTTGCTTCCCTTGAACAGGATCTGCTTGTGGTTCAAATCCCACCCTATTATTACCCTTGGTCTGTCAGTACATGACCAATATTCATGTTGTTCACCTTCTATTTACCTCTCATGCTCAAAGCATGCTAAGCCCTTCCTCCATTGAAGCTCGTCAGTCTAATCAGTCTAATTTGTTTGTTATGACAGGGAGAGATAGAGATCCTGGAGCCCAACCAAGGACTCAGCATTGAACAGGCAGTGTCCATCCTGCAAAGAATCATGTATATGACAGACATCCTGGTGTTTGCAAGCTCTACAAACTTTGCTGAGCTGGAGACCGAGAAGAACATGCCCTCTGGGGGCATACTCCGACAGTGCCTCAGACTTGGTAAGTCGCTAACCAAGCCAGATGGGAGTGTAGAGGTACACACTTCTTCTGGAGCATGCACAAATTATACTTGTGGAATTGGTCTTGGGATGTATTATATCCTGATAAGGGAATAACATTTGATCTTAATCTTTGAAATGTCTTTCGTCCCCAGTGTGCACTGCAGCAGTGCGGAACTGTTTAGAGTGTCGTCACCGCTACAACCCACGGACACCAACGGAAGCTACTCCTCCAACCACAGCTGCAGTCAATGGTGTTGACCCCATACAGTCTCTTATAGAAGGATCACATCCTTCTGCCAAGGTTAGACCTGCTCTTACTGTGTTGACTTCACCAGTCTCTTATAGAGGATCAGATCCTTCTGACAAGGTTAGACCTGCTCTTACTAGTGTTGACCTCATACAGTCTCTTATAGAAGGATCACATCCTTCTGCCAAGGTTAGACCTGCTCTTACTCGTGTTGACTTCACCAGTGTTGACAAGGTTACTCTTACAGTCTCTTATAGAGGATCAGATCCTTCTGCCAAGTTTAGACCTGCTCTGTTACTAGTGTCATACATCCTTCCTGAACAAGGTTAGACATGCCTTACTTGTGTTGACCTCATACAGTCTCTTATAGAAGGATCACATCCTTCTGCCAAGGTTAGACCTGCTCTTACTAGTGTTGACCTCATACAGTCTCTTATAGAAGGATCACATCCTTCTGCCAAGGTTAGACCTGCTGAAGGATTCTTACTTAGTGTTGACCTATACAGTCTCACAGTCTCCTTTAGAAGGCATTTATTGCTGATCACATCCTTCTTCCTGCTCTTACAAGGTTAGACCTGCTCTTCATAGTGTTGAACCTATACAGTCTCTTATAGAAGGATCACATCCTTCTGCCAAGGTTAGACCTGCTCTTACTAGTGTTGACCCCATACAGTCTCTTATAGAAGGATCACATCCTTCTGCCAAGGTTAGACCTGCTCTTACTAGTATTGACCGTATACAGTCTCTTATGGAAGGATCACATCCTTCTGCTGATGTTAGACCTGCTCTTAGTGATGTTGACTCCATCCATCCATAGAAGGATCACACAACCTTGTGGTTAAAGTGCCTGCTTCTGTGAAATCCTATCTTGTGTATTACAGTGCAGTTGATCTGGAATATATTAGTGTGGTTAAGAAACTTACTGACTCTCTTCTGTGATTGATTCATGGGCTGGTTCTGTAGTCATGGTTTCCCTGTAGTCATGGTTTCCCCTGCAGAACATTGTTGACAACCTGGCGGGTCAGATGTCGCCCATCAAGGACCCCGAGAAGCTGCTGCAGGAGATGGACATCAACCGTCTGCGAGCCGTGGTATACAGGGACGTGGTAGGTGTATACGAAAAGCATCCCTCAATGCCCTTTGAGAAACTTGTCAAGAACATCATAACCACGGTGAGTGCTTCTAGCATGTCTTCAACTCCAATGCCGCTCTGCTTGCGCTAACTCTTGGCAGAACGCTTCCTTGAGAAAGAATGTCCACGGGAGTGGAACCAATTTGGAAAACACGTGAATAACTCTACAGTCTGTTTTGTTGATGAAAATTTGTTAAGGTTTTTAGCATGACACAATCTCAACATACCATTGCTGTTGCTATGGAAACAAAACTATAACTGTCATCTGTTGAATACATTTTGTGGTTTATTATGATATGCCTTTATTAATTTCTCAACTTGCTTATATGACAAGGAAGTGTTTTGCCTGTGTATTAAAGCGTCTATCCAGGAGGTATGTTTACGCTGCACAGACACCATTAAATGGGATTTAATTATTAAAATGTTTATTTGGGGTGATCAAAACATATTTCAAATATCTCTTCAATTATTGAATAATACACTCATAAAAATCCTACTTCATGGTAGTCTGTGCTATGGTGGAGGGAAATCTTAAAAATGGAATTAGAGAAGTATATATCTGTATATATAGTTCACCTAAAACACTTGTGAGAATTATTAGACTATCCAAATTCAGATATGGTTCTTAGTCTCTAAAAACCATTTTCACATAACAACATGTTGTAGGAATATGTAACATTCAGAACTCCTATTAGAGTCTCCTCATTTATGCACTATGTTGACTTCAGTGTTAATTAGTTTTCAGCAAAACTAGATTCTTTTCCTCAGACATAATTTTAACTAGAATGGAATTCATTTTAAATGTCATTAACTATCTTTCTGTGTGATAAAATGTAAATGAACAGTAATAACGCTTGCCCCTTGTCTTGTTGTTCTGATAATGCAAGACTCCCCTGGGAGTACTTGGGAAGTCAAGCTGCATGTGTTCCTGGTGCCAAGATATAAACCTGTACTCCAGTCTATCTGTCTGCATCTTTCTCGCTCATCTCTGGAGGTCAGAATCATTTGTGGTTAATTACCATTTCATAGCAACATTGCTGCATTGTCTAATACAACTGAATCACATTTCATGAAATCTTAATAGTCCAGAGAAAGCTAGCTTAAATATTTTTGTTGTCCATGTAGTTTCGATGAATGTATTTTTGAATTATACTGTTCGTTGTCATGCATTAACTAAATAACAGTCAGCTTAAAGCTCATTGTTTCTCTAAACGACATTCTTAAATTTAAATTCTGTTATTAAATTTTAATGTTGTTTATTTATCGTTTACAGAATATTTAATGAATGTTTCATATTTTAATGACATAATATATCATTAATTGTAATTTCTGTTGTGAACATTATCTTATAGTCAGTTCAGTTTAAGTTAGTGAACAAAACAATTTCTAATGTTAGTAGTTCTCAGGAATACAGACTTTGAAACTGCAAGGACAACAGCTGCTTCCTGTATTGTCTACAATATGTCTGTCTAATATAGCATTTATCTTAGAACACTTTCATGTATTCACAGGTTGCGGAACTGAGAAGACATTTAGCTGAGACCACACTACACAGTTCAGAATATGATACTCTTTAAGAGCCCATGTTTGAACCTAGGGACAGATGTGTACCAATAATTGTCATGTAGGCTGACATCAGTGGTGATTCAATGGCCACAATGGCTGACAAGAATGGCTTGTACCTTGGAAGACCAATGGCAGCCTGGCTGAGGATTTAAGCATCCTTTCCAAGTCTATTTGTCTCAGGACTGGCTGTGTTGTAGTTGAAAAACTGCTGACAACAGCATTACCTCTAGTAACACAGTATTCCACCATTTTGTCAAGATGTGTACAAGGTCCTTCTTTAGTACCAAAGTTTTTGAAAATGCTATATTCCTTTTCTGTTTACGAGTAATTTTCAATGTTGATTTCCAGTTAACGATGTGTATTGCTTTGATAGTCAATTTTAAGGTTTCATTATTTTGATAAGAAATACAAATACAAGTAAGGTAATTTCATTTGAACTTTATTGCCCTATTTTTCAAATTGCAACTTTGTCACTAAATTTGTATGATGGAAGATGGGGTACAGTAAAATGGATGTGTACCATTCCTTGATATGTCTCAAAAGGACAAAATTATATTTTGATATACCATGATGTCACAGATAATTATACTTATAATACAAATTATCAAATTATAATGTACTGACAAAGCTTCATCCATATCATAATCACCTGAAACTATTTATTTACTGTATACAACACTGTCTTACATGATACAACATGTCCATTATTGTATTGTAGGAGGAGACAAAACAAGCTCAGTTCCTCGCCCTGGCTATTGTATATTTCTCATCCGTCCTCATGGTGTCCAAGTACCGAGACATCCTGGAACCGCCCAGTCCCGAGGCCCACTCACTAGGTCGGCCATCAACTCCCCTTCTGTGAAAGATGGTACGAATATTTATATGAATTTTGGGGTTTGCTGGTTCTGGTGATGGTAACTTTCTTTGCTTGTTTCCTATAAACTGTGCTTGAATACATATTTCATTGTTGATTTAGGTGAATGGTTCCTGTATAAATATTAAAAAATATTCTCATGTTGAAGTATTGTTAACTTTACGAGGTAATGGTGTCAGTTTTGAACATTTTTTAAGTTAATGGAATGGTCACAACAAATTTAAGATCTTACTTTCCCAATGATATCCCTGCTGACTTTGCATTGGGGAATGTTAAGGATGCAATGTTTTGAAATTTCTTGCTTTAATGTTTTTGGTTTACACACAGAAAAGATATTGTAAAGAATGTTTGTTGCTGTTAGTGTGAACAGTAAACATTAATCATTATTGATCTTTTAGCATATTTGTTTGCAAATGATGCATATGCATTTGACAAAAATGTTTTCTTGGCACAATGTTCAAAACAAATAAGTTTGTTGTGGCCTATTCTGGGAATTCGTTATCATTTTGTATCTATTCAGTAACACATGTTTATCCTGTTTTCCCTTAATGCCTTCAAAGGAAGCCAATTCTGGCAAAAGCTCCAACCCCCCTCCATTCCGCTCCTCAGTGACAATAATATATCAGGGGCCACAAGCCACCAAAATGGTGGAGACAAGACCACCAAAATACTCACTTCACATATGCAAAGTGCTGACACCGCCCCCAAAATAGTGACCTCCCCCACCCAGAACAGTGAGACAGAGCCAGGAGCCACGAGAGTTGGTGAGAGAATCATCATTGAGGACGGTGGCAGCATCCTGGCCAACATGACTTGTAGCGGTGTTGACGTTATCCCCCCTGTTCAAGGTTTCTGCTTCTCCCTCCCTTGGCATGCGCTTCCGCGTCTGTTGTCTCGACGTTTTCTCTGGTTCTCTCTTGTCTGTTGTCTCTTTTATTTCTGTTTCTGTCACATCTGTTGTCTCTTCACTGTTTCTTCTACTCTAACATCTGTTGTCACTGTGTTACGTCTGCTTCTCTCAGTCTGTTGTCACTGTGCTACTGCTTTTTCTTCGTCCTGTTGTCTCTGTGTTGCGTCTGCTTCTCTCTGTCTGTTGTCTCTGTGTTGGTCTGCTTCTCTCTGTCCGTTATCTCTGTGTTAAGGTCTGCTTCTCTGTCTGTTGTCTCTGTGTGGTCTGCTTCTCTCTGTCCTCATATTCTGTGTTTGTCTGCTTCTCTCCGTCGTTGTCATTTGTGTTGTTGTCTGCTTCTCTTCGCTGTTTGTTTCTGTGCTGTTTCTGCTTCCTTCTAAATGTTGTTCCCTGGGGATCCAGGATAAAATAGACCCCATTACAGTGACAGTCCCTCCTAAAACTCAGATATGACTTCAAAGACACGAATCTAAACTTAATACCTGTGTATTATTGAAACACAGACAATGATTTGACTTTGACCCTTCTCTACTAAGACAACTGTGTGTATGTGAAGACCCATGCTCATCATGTCAACCGCTGGTTTACCTCCAGACTTGATCACTACAGATCACCTTCATATGTGTGAATATTGCAGACTTTGACTTTAAGCTATATTCACACTTTCTTTGTTGCAAAAATAAAGATTCATATAATGATATAGATGAGAATATGACATACCAGCATGCTAGTCAATTGTACTAACTACATGTTATATAAATTCAATACATATTCAGGTAAATATGGTAAGCTTCCATTCCTATTTTATTAATTTTTTAGGATTTCAATTTGGCTTTCTTTTTACACAAAGTCTCCAAGTCTTTATGTGATGCATTTCTTCATCAACCAGTTACACACTTCTCTACTTTTATTGGGATGTTTCATCTCTCAATGATCCACAATACTGTTTCTCACAATATACCAAGAGTATATTTAGATATATCTTGATCAACAGTTGAGTAGGAAAGTAAGAAGTCCAGAGGTCAATTACTGTCCTGTGTTGTATGTTCAGGGGAGGTCACTCTCATTGCTGTGTCTCTGTCTTCATGTCTAGGAGAGGTTGCTCTCATTATTGAGTCCAGGGAGGTCACTCATTATTTGTATTCTTTCTCAGGGGAGGTCACTCTCATTGCTTGTGTCTCTTCATGTCTAGGAGAGGTTGCTCTCATTATTGTGTCCTGTGTTGTAGTCCAAGGGGAGGTCACTCTCATTACTGTCTTCTGTCTTCATGTCTAGGAGAGGTTGCTCTCATTATTGTGTCCTGTGTTGTAGTCCAGGGAGGTCACTCTCATTGCTGTCCTGTCTTTCATGTCTAGGGAGGTTGCTCTCATTATTGTGTCCTGTGTTGTAGTCCAGGGGAGGTTGCTTTCATTATTGTGTCCTGTGTTGTAGTCCAGGGGAGGTCACTCTCATTACTGTCCTGTCTTCATGTTCAAGGGAGGTCACTCTCATTGCTGTGTTCTGTCTTCATGTCTAGGAGAGGTTGCTCTCATTATTGTGTCCTGTGTTGTAGTCCAGGGGAGGTCACTCTCATTACTGTGTTCTGTCTTCATGTCTAGGAGAGGTTGCTCTCATTATTGTGTCCTGTGTTGTAGTCCAGGGGAGGTCACTCTCATTACTGTCCTGTCTTCATGTTCAAGGGAGGTCACTCTCATTACTGTGTTCTGTCTTCATGTCTAGGAGAGGTTGCTCTCATTATTGTGTCCTGTGTTGTAGTCCAGGGGAGGTCACTCTCATTACTGTGTCTTCATGTCCTGTCTCTCATGTTCTGTGTTCATGTCAGGGAGAGGTTGCTCTCATTATTGTGTCCTGTGTTGTATGTCCAGGGGAGGTCACTCTCATTACTGTCCTGTCTTCATGTTCAAGGGAGGTCACTCTCATTACTGCGTTCTGTCTTCATGTCTAGGAGAGGTTGCTCTCATTATTGTGTCCTGTGTTGTAGTCCAGGGGAGGTCACTCTCATTACTGTCCTGTCTTCATGTTCAAGGAGAGGTCACTCTCATTACTGTGTTCTGTCTTCATGTCTAGGAGAGGTTGCTCTCATTATTGTGTCCTGTGTTGTAGTCCAGGGAGGTCACTCTCATTGCTGTCCTGTCTTCATGTTCAAGGGATCTAGGAGAGGTTGCTCTCATTATTGTGTCCTGTGTTGTAGTCCAGGGTCCTGTCTTCAGGTCACTCTCATTGCTGTGTTCTGTCTTCATGTCTAGGAGAGGTTGCTCTCATTATTGTGTCCTGTGTTGTAGTCCAGGGGAGGTCACTCTCATTACTGTGTTCTGTCTTCATGTCTAGGAGAGGTCACTTGTGTCCTGTGTTGTAGTCCAGGGAGGGTCACTCATTGCTGTGTCCTGTCTTCATGTCTAGGAGAGGTTGCTCTCATTATTGTGTCCTGTGTTGTATTCCAGGGGAGGTCACTCTCATTGCTGTCCTGTCTTCATGTCTAGGAGAGGTTGCTCTCATTATTGTGTCCTGTGTTGTAGTCCAGGGGAGGTCACTCTCATTGCTGTGTTCTGTCTTCATGTCTAGGAGAGGTTGCTCTCATTATTGTGTCCTGTGTTGTAGTCCAGGGGAGGTCACTCTCATTACTGTCCTGTCTTCATGTTCAAGGGAGGTTACTCTCATTACTGTGTCCTTTGTTGTAGTTCAGAAGTGTTCACCCTTAGCACAGTGTCCTGCCTTACATTACCATCAACACCACAGGATTATTTTGTTGTCATTGTATTGCTGCACAGTTACATCCAGTTTCCCTCATAAACAGAATATTTTTATTTTGATGTTTAGCTGTTTTCTTTGATTTATATGCTTACATTTGTAGTTTTTGTGGAAAGATCCTCTTTACTCAATAGCTCAATGATTATTTGTGCTTATACCAGTAATATATTTATTCTCTCCAAATCAGACTTTGTTACATTTTGAGCATATGAAATATACTGAGAGAAATAAGGATCACATGAAAGCACAAGTGTTCCTTTATTTTTTCCAGGTTTCTTCACAAGCATTGTATCGCATAGCTTGTGAAGAAACATGGAAAAAAATAACTGAACACTTGTGCTTTCATGTGATCCCTTGTTTTTTTTCCCTCAGTATATTTGCAAATGCTTTCATTAGATGTGTATGGTGAAACCTTAACATTGCAGGAAATTTGCTAAGTTACCATTTGATGCCTGTATTTTGCTTAAGTTCACAGTGGTCACTAGCCATGAATTTTCAGCCCACCTTGGCAAATTTAACACTTTGATTAAAAATTGTTTTCAAATATACTTTTTTAAATTTGGGATTGTTCACTTTGGTGTTATCAGTTTTATGTTCATTAGATAGTGGTTCATCTGTTAGTTATTGAACAGTAATATATGTCAGTGATGGTCATTGATGATGTCATGTTAACACCTTTGTAATAAAACATGACAGAGTTGGAAGTGTTTGTTTAGAATGTGGTTCAGATGCAGAAAGAAAGAATGTCAACTTTGCCAGGACTGCCATACGTATTTTGCCATACAAATTGTATTGGTCCAATAGCATTACAGAACCTTAACCTAAATTCGTGTATAACCTTGATTCATGGATCAAGGTATTTATCATGCTATCTCGTAAATTAAGTCTCGTATGATGTCACGAAGCGGTACTTTTCATGTACACACAATGCCACGCCTCGCTGACAAAAATGTTCCAAATCTCTGCATTACACGTAATTACACTAAATCTAAATGTAAAACACTGAGATAAATAGCCAAAGATCACTAATGCCACCAATACCAAATTTAATTTTACAAAAAAGATACCGTTAGCACCAACCTTCTCACATCATGTCATCTGCTTTCCTAGGTGTGAGTACTTGCACTGGTGTCCTCTCACATAGCCAGAGTGGGATCTGGCTGACCAGGGTTAGTGTTTTGATAACGCATGTCCAGATGAGCCAATTCAATTCAATTCTTTATTCTCATAAACCACCTTGGTGGTACAAGAGCATATATTGTAAACATATATACAAATACAAATTCAAATTCAAGATGGCAGTTAACAACATTTTTTTCTGACAAGAGATGATAGATGTAGGATATATTTTGATAGATTTACTATGTCTCGAGATGTTTTTACAGATAATATTTTCGTGAACTTTGTTTCATTGGGAAAAGAGGTCAAGTGGGAGGGTAAATATTCTTTCCTCAAAGTATCTAATGCTTTGCAATGAAAAATATAGTGGTATTCATCTGCGATGCTTTTTAGAAGTACATAGTTGACATGTTCTCTCTGTCCCTGGAATATTTTTCCAGCGGCCTGTCTCAATAGGTAAACTATGGTTACATGTTCTAAATCTCAATAATGGCAAGAAAATGCGTTTTGGAAGGAGGAGATATACATCAAAATTGGGAAATGGCTTTAGGTGCTGATAGTGTATACCCTTAGGACTAGTAATAATGTCATTGTGCCAGTTTTGGATAAATTGATCTTTAAGAATATGTTCAACTTTTGAGACCAGCCACTGGGTAGTACAAATTGAGGGATTATCAAAAACATACGAGAGTCCAGTATTGTCTAATATATTTTTAACGTGCGAGAGCCAGGGATTATGTTTTTTATCTATTGATCTTTGAAGTGATAAATACCTGTAAATTAAGTTCGTAAGCTTAAAAACACCTTCTTGGTAAGTTAACTTGTGCCAAAAGTTTAATAAACGCTTATAAATCATGATTCTAATTGGGAATCTTCCTAGTTACCCATACAGCATGAAACACCATATAGCCATATATCAACAATATGCTCAGTTAGTGAGATTCGTGAATTTTGTATTGAGACACATCTGGATGGTATTGTTTGAATTTCTTTACAGTTTTCATATTCAAGGCTCAGTTTGTAAGATTAGTTAAATTTATATTAAAGTGAGATACATTGATATGGTATTATTTGAATTTCTTTACAATTTACAGAGAATGTAAATAAAAATATGTTTGGTGCAAAATATGTAGTGTATTAAGAAAGTTATGAGAAATGGTGGCTGAAAATGTTAACAAATGATGCTTCTTTGGCTGTAATATTACACACACATGGACACCTTATATATCGAGTGCAAGTATCCACTTCTGAATACCAGCCTAGTCATTGAGTGTCAGTAACCACTTCTAAATCCTAGCGTATTCACAAAGTCAACAATCGGTTCTAAAGTCATGTTTTTTGGCTGCTTGTTAAGAACCAGTTCTTAAGTCAAGCCTATTTATGTATGTTAGCATCCACTTTTTAACAGTGATAAACAGTGCAAATACCACTCAACACGTGTACGACAAGGTAACATTTTAACTGTTACACTTATAAATTCAGTTCACAAACTTATTACTGTATGGACCAATTCTGTAGTGACACTGGGTGGTAGGACAGCCTAGTTGACACGAAATTGTGCAGAACTATGGATTGAGAAATAACCAAATTTTTCATTGTTGTATTGGACTGGCATGCAGCAACTTGGACACTGCATTATATAATCTTTGAAGGACCATTGTAATATGTATAACATTAATATAGGGGGAAACACTGTTTGTCAATCCCACTGTACACTACTAGTGGTACAAGAATAAGTATTGTTTAAACTATACACACACTTGCATACATCTTCAATCGTGTCGCCCTAGAACAAAGGCTCACGCTTCAGTAGCTAATGCTAATAACCTGGCTTGGTTCTCTCACCTAGCCATAGTGCAATGTTGTCTTAACAAGACCTTTTTAGGAAGACTCTGGCTAAGTGAGAGTGAACCCTTGCTTCATGGGCTCTTGTACATAGTGATATATAGTAACCGACTACGTAATCCACAAAACAAGGTGTCGTCACATTTTGTGTGCCCACAAATGGGTGCTGATTGCAAATGATATCAGTAGACAAATGTTTCATTCACGAGTGGAATATTAGGCAATTTTTATTTGCTGAATGAATGAATAAAATAATCAGTGATTATACAAAGTGAATTTGTGCATTTAAAATATGATTTTTGCCGCACTTTCGTTAAATCCATGGATCAAGGTTATGCGAGTGTAGGATATGTATTATATCGTAACACTGTACAGATTCATCTCAATGAAAGACTGTTTATAAAGGCAGTAAATCATACTGTTTCATTCACTATAGGTTTGATGTGTTGACCGTTTCAGCAGCTGATGGTCAGGGAGATGATGTCTGATACATGAAGGGATAACCATACTTTGTCCTCCTTTTCAGAAGAAGAATCTTCAGCAGGGGACACAACTCAGGAGGAGGTTAGCGAGGAGACGCCTCCAACAACGAACGGAGGCAGTGAAGACCACGTCAACACCAGCAGTGATGACGTCAGTCAGACAAACGTGGAAGTTACCGCTGATGTCCATACAGATACACCAAAGGGTAGGTGAAAATGTTAGGGTTAACTTGTGTGATCAACACTGGCTGGGGTGGAATAGGTCCCAGTACATAGTCTTGAGAGGTGATTAAGGAGGATTGGTTGGTCACAGTGTTGATTGGTGGCACCCTGTGGCATGAATGATTGTTCAAGCTATCAACCATTAGTCTGTCTGGCCAGACTCTATAAAATGTGACCCGTGAGGATCCGGGTTAGAATTGGTCTTCAGAACCCCTTGTTTGTCGCAGGAGGTTACTAACAGAATTGGGTTGTCATGTTCGCTGACTTGCTTGACACATGTCATCGAATCCCAATTGTGTAGATAGATGCTCATCTTGTTGATCACTGGATTGTCTGGTCCAGACTCGATTATTTACAGACTGTTGCCATATAGCTGGAATACTGCTGAGTGTGGTGTTAAACAACGAACCAACCAACCATATTAAATGTGGGTCCTGGAGGTGCTTGTGTAACCAGTCATATGTTAAGTGAGCAACAATTCATAAGGCAGGGGTGGGTTCCTTGGGCATGTCAGAAACATGTAATCATGAGTTTGAATCCCAGATTTCATGATGATTATGTTTTAAGCTTGTTAGAACTTTTGTGGGGAATATTTGATATCTGCTGACAGTCTTGGATCTAACTGAAATACTGTTCAAAATGGCAATATACCGCACTCACTCACTCACTCTATTATACACAGTCTACCTTGACACAGACACAGCCTCCAGTCGATCAATCCTCACTGATTTGCTTTTGTTCCAGATGGAGACTCGTCCACTGAGAAGACAGAAACAGTGGCAGAAGAAACACCTGATAAGACTGAGGAAAAACCTGATGAAACAAAGGTAGCAGATGAACCTCAGGAAAAGATGGAAGAAAGGAGCGAACCAGCTGGAGAAACAAAGGAAGAAACTAAATCAGAGGAAGAATCAAAAGAATCAGCAACAGATGATAAAGCTGAAACCAAGGAAGAAGCAGAAAAGAAGGATGAAGTACAGGAAAAAGATGCACCAGAAGGAAAGGATGCACCAGAAGGAAAGGTTGCACCAGAAGGAAAGGATGCACCAGAAGGAAAGGATGCACCAGAAGGAAAGGATGCACCAGAAGGAAAGGATGCACCAGAAGGAAAGGATGAAGAAAAGAAAGATGAAAAGCCTCAAACAGAGGACGACAAGCCTGGTGTTGATGCTAAGGCAGCGGAAGTGGAAGACGCCACAAAGGAAGAAAAGACAGAAACTGTTGAGGAGAGTAAAGAGGTGGTGGAAGGAGAGAAGAAAGAGGAAGTAAAGGTGGAACAAGTTAAGGTGGAAGTGGAGGCTGAGAAGGTTCCTGGTAAGTTTAATACTGGAATCGTAAGATTCAACTTTTGGATTCCTGGTTAGAATTGTTTCTTGGAACCTGTGCTGGTTGTGAGAGGTGGCTTTGTTGATTGGATGGTCAGATTTGGTGACTTGGTTGATGGAGTGTCAGTGTACTCCGACAGTGTGTATCTGTCCTGTGAGTGACAAGGTGGCCTGGTCTACACACACCACACCACACCACACCACAACACAACACAACACAACACACCACACCCACGCCACACCACACAACACGTCACACCACACCATGTCACACCACACCACACCACACCACACACTCATTTACTCAATCAATCAATCAATCACACTGATGACTGACAGTTGATATGGGATACATACTGTAAGTAGCAGCGGTAATATGCTAGCTCATTATCGTGCATTATCTCACATTATGTCACCTGCAAAGTACTTTACTTCCCTTAATGTAATACATTTAATGAATAGTATGTTTGGTGAACTGTTTTGTAGGTGACAAGCAGAGTTAATTATTCATCCACTTACATCACTATTTGTCTTCTACAGCAGAAACAGACCAAACAGATGCAGCTCCGGAACAGACCGCCAAAACTGTTGGAGAAGATGAACAGACTGACACGCCACCAGATGGCAGCTCTCTACCTATATCATCCATCAGTGTGACCGGAGCCGTCAGCAACATTGAACACACGGCCACAACCAAACCCGACAAACTTGAACTGACCAACAATATCCCAGGGCCTCTGAAGATATTACCTCCCCTGGGTGAAGGTGGCAGTCTCACAGACCGGCTGGAGAGGGCACTTGGATCGGTGGCGCCATTACTGAGGGAAATCTTTGTTGACTTTGCTCCATTCCTGTCCAAGACTCTGATTGGATCCCATGGACAGGAACTTCTCATTGGAGGTGACAAATCCGGATTGGATTTCTGGGATTTTGACCCACAAATATTTTGATTCGTGATTTTTCTTGATATGATGCAGTTACAGTTTTAAAATTGTGATTTAAAGTAAGGGCAGTACTTGGAGGTGACAAATACGGATTGGATTTCTTGGATTTCGACCCACAAATATTTTGATTCGTAATTTTTCTTGATATGATGCAGTTACAGTTTTAAAATTGTGATTTAAAGTAAGGGCAGTACTTGTCATGAACGTATATTGGAATTTTAAATGTTCGGAGATTCAATGTACAACAAGATATGGCCCTTAAGGATCCCGTGGTAAACCCGGAAACACTATAGCTATGTTTCAATCCCCGTTCTAGGTTTTAATGTGTCAGAATTCTGGTATAATTCTCCCTAAGTATAGGCAGATCCAGTGTGTGTGTGTGTGTGTGCGTGTGTGTGTGCGTGCATGTCGTGCGTGCGTCCCTGCGTGGAGGATGTCCTTTTGCAATATATGAAATCATGTTGATAATTAACAACTTAATTTAAATGGTGAGTGCAGTTTTTTGTTTGTTCATAATTAAATAAGCATTCTGTGAAGTTGTTGTTGAAATATTCATCCCAATTTACCACAGCATGTTTTTGTATGTATTAAAATTGAACACAATCCATGCAGCAAAGTGTGCAAAAAGTCCTCACACTTATACGTCCAAAAGTACAAAACAGTGTCGAAATTTGCTTTCAGGTTTGGTGACGTTGAAGCAGAGCACGTCTGTGGTGGAGTTAGTGATGTTGCTGTGCTCGCAAGAGTGGCAGAACTCCCTCCAGAAGCATGCAGGTCTTGCCTTCATAGAGCTTGTCAACGAGGGCAGGTGAGTGTGTAGCCCTACAGGGTTTTAGAATAGGGCCCCTGCAACCTTTGTGGGTCATAATAGGCTTGTTGGTATGATGCCTTATTTGTGTTATTTTTGTGCAAACATACAGATCATTGCTCCTAATGTCAATCACAGCTCTAGTCAAGACCAGACTTGATTATTTATGTACTGCTGCCGTAAATCTGGAATATTGCTGAGGGCAGCGTTTAACAAAACTCATACAAACATACAGGCATACACTTACCAGGAGTGATATTGGATGTGGACGTTTTTTAAAGGAACAAGTAATGCTATGGACATAAGTTCCATTTGCTCTCTCTTTGTTGCCTGTTGTCTAGGTGCTGCAGTTACCTTAGATAGGATTCTTTGGTTCCGTTTGTCCACCAAATTTCCTCTGATTATGACCCTTGGTTTGATCCATGCCAATGTCTTTGTTTCATCAAATGTGGAACTGTATATGACCAACATCACCTTGGGCATCTCCTCAATCAAGAGGTCAGACTTTTTTTAAGACACATTGAGTCTCACCCATTTTGATATATGGACTTCTTGTCTGTTTATTGATGACATAACATTTGTTCCAGGTTGTTGGCTCATGCGACACGGGACCACATCGTCCGAGTAGCAAATGAGGCAGAGTTTATTCTGAACAGGATGAGAGCTGAGGATGTGCAGAAGCATGCTGAATTTGAGGTAACAGAACCAACATGTGGAACCATAAAATCTCCATTATGCAACAAGCTGTGAAACAAAATCCCAGTATATCAACTCCATACATGTTTCTTTGAGCAATTGCATTGTAAAATCTTTATTTTCAGCAAACTTTCAACTCATACCATAATGTTGAACTTAACTGCATCTGTTTCCAAAGGCCCGGTTCGAATCCAATGACACCAAAATTTGTGACCTGGGTCTCATACCTTGTTGTGTCCCTGGATACTTCGCTTTATTGCACTCAGTGCATCCAGCTGTTAAATGGGTACCTACTGTGGATTGGACCTATAAGACTGCTGGCGCTTAAGCACTTTGATAACAATTCTGTCATTATAATAATGTAACGCCAGAGAGCTTGTGTTGGATTCAAAAATCTCCATTATTATCAGTCATAAGATCCCACATACTACAGTGAGCCTTTTACTGGAATCTTTCATTGTAAAATCTTTTGACAGCCTCAGCTGTATCAATCATACACAATGGCTAATGATCCATAAATAGTTGAGATATTAATAGCATCTTCCATGCCAAAGGAAACCACTAATTGGATCAGGATGTCAGATTGATGAATTTGTAAATGAATGTCATTGTATCTGAGTTGTTTGTTGATTCTTATGATGATTACGACTGATCACTGGATTATTTGGTCCAGAGTCAGATATTTAAGAACCTGTCATCTTCATGGAATATTGCTGAGAGGAGCACTAAGGACCACACAGACAACAATTCAAAATTGATCAAAATGAATGAAGATGATGAAAATAGACAAGTCTAGCTGCCTATATTCAAATTCAGCATCCAAACAATGTAATGTGTTGTATGCTACATGTATTTTGACTCTATCGAGGTCAAGGCCACATACAGCTGTGGGGTCATGATAATCATGGCGTCTAGTCATTGTCTTGAATAAGTTTATCATTGAAAGCCATGAAGCTGTGGTTTTTGTCTGTAGTTGTCTGTAGTGATTCCTAGCCATGGTATATTTCTTTGAATATATTGTTATTCAAAACCGTGTAAATGCTTCAGAAAAATATACAAATTAAAAAAAGCAAAGAAAGGAGATAATTCCATGCTGCGGAAGCTGTATTGATGCTTGTGTGTTTAGTCCCTGTGTGCCCAGACGACCGTGGACCGGAAGGATGAGGAGAAACTGTGTGACCACCTCATCACCTCCGCCAAACGCCGGGACCACGCCCTGTCCGCAAACTCCGCGAGAAGGTTGTGAACATCCTCACCAACAAACACGGTGCATGGGGAGAGAGAAACCAAGCGTGAGTGAAGAGGGTCTCTCATCTTCAGATACTGTTAACCTTCTTTGAGGTTATCCCGAAAGAATTATTGGGAATATTTCAGATGATGTTCATCTGACTTTTAGCTGAAATGAAACTCTTTGAAACTCTTACATTAAACTGTCTGGTACTAGTCATTTGGGGGTAAAATAGTACTCCTCAGCTTAGATTCTGTACACAGCTTTTGCATCTAGTATCCGTATGAAACAAACACATGGTATCTCAGTCGGTTAATAATGCCTTTTCAGGAATTTGTGTTACATCACCAGAGCTACTGACATTAGAGATAGTCAAACATATTTACACTAAATTCTTTGATTTAGGTATCTGCAAATTTGTTTAAGAGAAATATGGTAAAATTGGAATGAAAAGGATTGTTATGAGCAGGGCTAACAAGTTTTTACAATTGAACTTTGTATTCATGATTACCTGAAGGAGGCAGAGGAGGTGCTGTATTCTGAAATTTAATGCTATGAAACCAACAAAGGTCTGGACTAGCAGTAAATCACATGTTTCTGTAAAAACAATCTTGAACAACGTGTCACCCATCGAAAAATAACCATGTTAGATATAATGATAAACGGAATAAAAGACTCCACTTCCATGAAAATGAACACATAGTCCCAGAAACAAGGTTTTGTGTTGACACCATTTAACTAACAGTAAATCTCAAATTTGTATGTTTTCTAGAGAAGGGAACGAGAAATAGGATGGAATGTTTCATTAAATATATGGTCTGGGATCTGTTAGAGACTTCAAATTATTGATAAATCTTGGAAGAATATATATTTAGGTAAACTGCATAAAGATAAGGATAGAATGTGCGTTTTATGTTGGATGGCATATCACAGGAATTTGGATATTTGTCATCCAGCTTTACTTTGAGTGAAGGTCTCAGACTTGTACATTGTTTGTTGCAGGAGACGAGAGTTCTGGAAGCTGGACGTGTGGGAGGATGACTCACGCAGGAGGAGACGTCTTGTCAGGAACAATCTAGGATCCAGTCACCCTGAAGCCACACTCAAGGCAGCTATTGAACATGGTCAGGGCACATCTCTCAGATTACCTCCGTTATTGGGAATTTATTGGAAGATATATCCATTAAATTGAAAATGTGTTTATCAGACCTCTTTGACAAAATTATGCGTTTCTAAACTGGACCATTTCTGTGGCATAGTGAAAAAAAAAGAGAAAAATATGTAGAATTAAATATTTGTTGAAGTTGTTGCAATAATGTGAACACAGGTCAATGTGTGTCGTCCTCCAGCAGCTGTGAAGGCAAAGTCTGACTTGTTTCATTATCAAATGTTGCCATTGTTGTGAGTAGTGATGCAGATTTGTTCTTGTCCGAATCTAGGTGCTACCGAAGATGCAATAAACCAGGCTCGCGATGCCCTCCACTCCCACCTGTCGTCACTGAAGAAGTCCCAGAAGGAGACAACGGATTACACGGATGAAGAGCTTCTCATGGAGGAGAAGGAGTTTGACCAGGACTTCTCAGGTCAGATGTTACTCTCTGCTCATTATTTCCAGTTGCTGATCCAAAATCTCCCAAGTAGACAGTTCTTTGGCATGTTGAGATTTCTCCAGTTACAATGAAGATATAATCTGGTGTCCCTTCTTCTATATATTGAAAGACAGTAAATGAAAGTAGTAATATGTTTAGGAGATAACTGTACTGTGTTTGATGAATTGGGGACATATACCGATGGTTATATAGCCGCAAATTTAGTTATATCGGCGACACGTAACGTTAAATTTGCGGCTATATAACCACCTGTGGTTCCCTATTCAAACTTCAACATGTTTATTATGTGCACACTGTCTAAATCTGACAATGATGAATAAATCATAGTGTTATGGATAAAATGGATGGAATTATGATGAAACCACTCTCTAGTTATCAGAAATGAGCGGCATGTTGATTCCTCAACTACAGGCCATTATCAGTTCCATTGTGAAATGACGTCACAGCAGGATACGTCACGCTCCATAATGACGTCATAAATCTTGTTTCACTATCTAACAGTGTTGGGTCAACAGCCCGTTGCGAGTAAGTCGTTTGAACTTAAAATTAAATTTATGATACTGTTTTGCCTTTTGTTAACGCACATTCCACCCATTTTGGCTGGATAGGGGAGTTAATTGGCCAAGGGCTTCTGAAAATGACAATGTCCTGCAAAACAGCGTTACCCCAATAGTGTAGGGATACATTCAAAGGTTTTGGTGACTCGTTTTTCAAATTGCGACCGTATATGCTGATTATACAGTCGGAAATTTATAGCATTGACCAATTAGGACTCGTTTTACATACTAAGTTGAATTAGAATTACGTTTCAGAGGCTAAGTGTTAGTCTAACATTTACTGATGATGATCCGTGTGAGAATGGATCTTCAGTAACCCATGCATGTCGTAAACTTCGACTAATGAGATCAGGTGGTCAGGCTCGCTGACTTGGTTGACACATGTCATTGTATCCCAGTTCTGTAGATTGATACTCAGGCTGCTGATTGCTGGATTGTCTGGTCCAGACTTGATTATTTACAGACCACCGCCATTTGCTGAAAGTGTGGCTCTGATTGATGTAAAACTTTAACTTTAACTTATTATGAAAAGGACCATTCTAATCCAGGACTGGCCTGAAGAGATCTGTGACTCAAATAGTGTCAATATGGTGGCCTAGCCATCTCGGACCGCCTCCGTGGTGTAGTGGTTAGAGCATTCGCCCGGAGAGCGGAAGGTCGCGGGTTCGATCCCCACCGCGCCATACCAAAAACGCTAAAAATATGGTACTTGTTGGTCCCTGTCTGGCGCCGCATTAGCAACCCATGTGCTATAAAAAGGCAATCTTGTCGTAAGAGGCTACTCGGGTCAGCATTGACTTGGTTGACACATGTCAGTCCCAATTAGCAGATATGCTCATGCTGTTGATCACTGTTGTCTGGTCCAGACTCGGACCACGCCATATAGCTGGAATATTGCTGAGTGCGGCGTGCTAAACTCACGGCACTGGTCGGCTCGGAGTCAGTATAATGCATGGTATCTCAGTGGGCTAGCACTATAAAACCAGCTTCAGTCTGGGCTAGTACAAGCAGCCGCACATACACATACACACGTATGCACGTCGTCATATGAGCGAAATATTCTCAAGCACGACGTTAATCCCAATTTCACCTCACCTCACCTAGCCATCTCATTTGCTCTGTAGAGTTATATAACTTAGTGTTTAGCAGGATTCTATCACCTTTAGTTAGAATCACAGACTTGCTATCATTATTGTCAGTGGTTTGTGAGCATCAGCTTGAGTTTCAACAAACTGTTTCATAGACAGTGCAACTGGGGCTGTCACACTGATATTAGTGACACTGAACATCAACTCCCTCACTCACTGTTCCAGGTCCAGTTGCCTTATCCACTCCATGTAAACTGATATATAAGTGACACTTAACGTGACTCCCTCACTCGCTGTCCCAGGTCCAGTTGCCTTATCCACTCCATGTAAACTGATATATAAGTGACACTTAACGTGACTCCTCTCACTCACTTAACGTTCTCACCCGCTGTTCCAGGTCCAGTTGCCTCATCCACTCCATGTAAACTGATATATAAGTGACACTTAACGTGACTCCCTCACTCGCTGTTCCAGGTCCAGTTGCCTTATCCACTCCATGTAAACTGATATATAAGTGACACTTAACGTGACTCCCTCACTCGCTGTTCCAGGTCCAGTTGCCTTATCCACTCCATGTAAACTGATATATAAGTGACACTTAACGTGACTCCCTCACTCGCTGTTCCAGGTCCAGTTGCCTTATCCACTCCATGTAAACTGATATATAAGTGACACTTAACGTGACTCCCTCACTCGCTGTTCCAGGTCCAGTTGCCTCATCCACTCCATGTAAACTGATATATAAGTGACACTTAATGTGACTCCTCACTGCTGTTCCAGGTCCAGTTACCTCATCCACTCCATGTAAACTGATATATAAGTGACACTTAACGTGACTCCCTCACTCACTGTTCCAGGTCCAGTTGCCTTATCCACTCCATGTAAACTGATATATAAGTGACACTTAACGTGACTCCCTCACTCGCTGTTCCAGGTCCAGTTGCCTTATCCACTCCATGTAAACTGATATATAAGTGACACTTAACGTGACTCCCTCACTCGCTGTTCCAGGTCCAGTTGCCTTATCCACTCCATGTAAACTGATATATAAGTGACACTAACGTGACTCCTCACTCACTGTTCCAGGTCCAGTTGCCTTATCCACTCCATGTAAACTGTGATATAGGTGACACTGAACATCAACTCCCTCACTCACTGTTCCAGTTCCAGTTGCCTTATCCACTCCATGTAAACTGATATATAAGTGACAATTAACGGACTCCCTCACTCGCTGTTCCAGGTCCAGTTGCCTTATCCACTCCATGTAAACTGTGATATAGGTGACACTGAACATCAACTCCCTCACTCACTGTTCCAGTTCCAGTTGCCTCATCCACTCCATGTAAACTGATATATAAGTGACACTTAACGTGACTCCCTCACTCACTGTTCCAGGTCCAGTTGCCTCATCCACTCCATGTAAACTGATATATAAGTGACACTTAACGTGACTCCCTCACTCGCTGTTCCAGGTCCAGTTGCCTCATCCACTCCATGTAAACTGATATATAAGTGACACTTAACGTGACTCCCACTTCCGCTGTTCCAGGTCCAGTTGCCTCATCCACTCCATGTAAACTGATATATAAGTGACACTGAACGTCAACTCCCTCACTCGCTGTTCCAGGTCCAGTTGCCTTATCCACTCCATGTAAACTGATATATAAGTGACACTTAACGTGACTCCCTCACTCGCTGTTCCAGGTCCAGTTGCCTTATCCACTCCATGTAAACTGATATATAAGTGACACTTAACGTGACTCCCTCACTCGCTGTTCCAGGTCCAGTTGCCTTATCCACTCCATGTAAACTGTGATATAGGTGACACTGAACATCAACTCCCTCACTCACTGTTCCAGTTCCAGTTGCCTTATCCACTCCATGTAAACTGATATATAAGTGACACTTAACGTGACTCCCTCACTCGCTGTTCCAGGTCCAGTTGCCTTATCCACTCCATGTAAACTGATATAGGTGACACTGAACATCAACTCCCTCACTCACTGTTCCAGTTCCAGTTGCCTCATCCACTCCATGTAAAGCTGATATAAGGACACTTAACGTGACTCCCTCACTCGCTGTTCCAGGTCCAGTTGCCTCATCCACTCCATGTAAACTGATATATAAGTGACACTTAACGTGACTCCTCACTTTCGCTGTTCCAGGTCCAGTTGCCTTATCCACCCATGTAAACTGATATATAAGTGACACTTAACGTGACTCCCTCACTCGCTGTTCCAGGTCCAGTTGCCTTATCCACTCCATGTAAACTGATATATAAGTGACACTTAACGTGACTCCCTCACTCGCTGTTCCAGGTCCAGTTGCCTCATCCACTCCATGTAAACTGATATATAAGTGACACTTAACGTGACTCCTCACTCGCTGTTCCAGGTCCAGTTGCCTCATCCACTCCATGTAAACTGATATATAAGTGACACTTAACGTGACTCCCACTCGCTGTTCCAGGTCCAGTTGCCTCATCCACTCCATGTAAACTGATATATAAGTGACACTTAACGTGACTCCCTCACTCGCTGTTCCAGGTCCAGTTGCCTCATCCACTCCATGTAAACTGATATATAAGTGACACTTAACGTGACTCCCTCACTCGCTGTTCCAGGTCCAGTTGCCTTATCCACTCCATGTAAACTGATATATAAGTGACACTTAACGTGACTCCCTCACTCGCTGTTCCAGGTCCAGTTGCCTTATCCACTCCATGTAAACTGATATATAAGTGACACTTAACGTGACTCCCTCACTCGCTGTTCCAGGTCCAGTTGCCTTATCCACTCCATGTAAACTGTGATATAGGTGACACTGAACATCAACTCCCTCACTCACTGTTCCAGTTCCAGTTGCCTTATCCACTCCATGTAAACTGATATATAAGTGACACTTAACGTGACTCCCTCACTCGCTGTTCCAGGTCCAGTTGCCTTATCCACTCCATGTAAACTGTGATATAGGTGACACTGAACATCAACTCCCTCACTCACTGTTCCAGTTCCAGTTGCCTCATCCACTCCATGTAAACTGATATATAAGTGACACTTAACGTGACTCCCTCACTCGCTGTTCCAGGTCCAGTTGCCTCATCCACTCCATGTAAACTGATATATAAGTGACACTTAACGTGACTCCCTCACTCGCTGTTCCAGGTCCAGTTGCCTTATCCACTCCATGTAAACTGATATATAAGTGACACTTAACGTGACTCCCACACTGCTGTTCCAGGTCCAGTTGCCTTATCCACTCCATGTAAACTGATATATAAGTGACACTTAACGTGACTCCCTCACTCGCTGTTCCAGGTCCAGTTGCCTTATCCACTCCATGTAAACTGATATATAAGTGACACTTAACGTGACTCCCTCACTCGCTGTTCCAGGTCCAGTTGCCTTATCCACTCCATGTAAACTGTGATATAGGTGACACTGAACATCAACTCCCTCACTCACTGTTCCAGGTCCAGTTGCCTTATCCACTCCATGTAAACTGATATATAAGTGACACTGAACGTCAACTCCCTCACTCACTGTTCCAGGTCCAGTTGCCTTATCCACTCCATGTAAACTGTGATATAGGTGACACTGAACGTCAACTCCCTCACTCACTGTTCCAGGTCCAGTTGCCTTATCCACTCCATGTAAACTGATATATAAGTGACACTGAACGTCAACTCCCTCACTCACGCTGTTCCAGGTCCAGTTGCCTCATCCACTCCATGTAAACTGATATATAAGTGACACTGAACGTGAACTCCCTCACTCACTGTTCCAGGTCCAGTTGCCTCATCCACTCCATGTAAACTGATATATAAGTGACACTGAACGTCAACTCCCTCACTCGCTGTTCCAGGTCCAGTTGCCTTATCCACTCCATGTAAACTGATATATAAGTGACACTAAACGTGAACTCCCTCACTCACTGTTCCAGGTCCAGTTGCCTTATCCACTCCATGTAAACTGATATATAAGTGACACTTAACGTGACTCCCTCACTCGCTGTTCCAGGTCCAGTTGCCTTATCCACTCCATGTAAACTGTGATATAGGTGACACTGAACATCAACTCCCTCACTCACTGTTCCAGTTCCAGTTGCCTTATCCACTCCATGTAAACTGATATATAAGTGACGCTTAACGTCCTCTCTCTCACTGTTCCAGGTCCAGTTGCCTTATCCACTCCATGTAAACTGTGATATAGGTGACACTGAACGTCAACTCCCTCACTCACTGTTCCAGGTCCAGTTGCCTTATCCACTCCATGTAAACTGATATATAAGTGACACTTAACGTGAACTCCCTCACTCACTGTTCCAGGTCCAGTTGCCTTATCCACTCCATGTAAACTGTGATATAGGTGACACTGAACGTCAACTCCCTCACTCACTGTTCCAGGTCCAGTTGCCTTATCCACTCCATGTAAACTGTGATATAGGTGACACTGAACGTCAACTCCCTCACTCACTGTTCCAGGTCCAGTTGCCTTATCCACTCCATGTAAGCTGATAGCCCCGGGGTTACTGTAGCTGGCACTGTGTCCATCACCAAATCCGAGCTGTACTTCGAGATGGATGAAGATGAAGCCGACAACAAGAACATAGATCAGAAGGTAGGGGAGTTATCTTCTCTTTGTTTAGCTTCATAGCTGTACCAGAGATCAAACCAACATGTTTCTGTGTTCCCTCCCAGATTAACCTCACTTGCAACCCCTGGAGTTGAGGTTTATCTAAGTGGAGGTATGAGGTTTTACAGTCAAATTCAAGGGGTGTGCGTAGCTTAATCTTGCAAATCGGGAGATTTTGAAGAAGTCGCTGTTTCTCTGTCATATTCTTGTGTACAATTCTGTAGAGAGATTCATCATCTATAATCTGGTTTTGAGCCAGAGTCTCAGGGGTTCAATCTTTTAAGATACCAAAAGCCACACTTTGCTAGGCAAGTCTGGTTTGAGCCAGAGTCTGCTGTTGAAAATTTGTGTGACTGTAAGGCCTAATGGCTGGACACTGCTACTAACCAGCTTTAAATCCATGGTGTCATTTAACATAACGATCTCAGCAAAAGTGTTCATGGAAGTCTTTGTTAGTGTTAAACATCGTCACTGCTATGATCGTTGGTTGAATGGGGCCAGGCCTTTAGTTTGTTGGATTTGTTGTGTGGTAATGGACAGTTGAGTGAGGAAGACCCACACTGGTGAAGCTCCAGGGGATGTTTGTCCATCAGTCATGAAGATAAAGAAAGGTAAGCCTCTTTCATGTCTTCTCAAACCAGAATCAATACATGCAGTGTTTGAACTAGCTGCTTGCCTGCTAGCCTAATGCTAGTGACTTCTGAACTGGGCTAGTGACACTTCTGTAATACTGGCCTGACTGTCTAATTGAAAGACATATCAGGGGCGGACAAACCTTTTGGAGAAAGTGGGGATGCACCCATCATTTTCACCCGTTTTCACGAGAGTTTAAGGGTCATTTAATAAACTTTGGGGACAAAAGGGGTGTGCACACCCCTGCACACACACACACACACCTTTTCGGGATCCGTCTATGCATATATATCCACAAATCATCCAGTCAGTGTGATTTACGTAGAACTAGGTGAAAATAAAATGTATGAATGAACAACTTCTTTATTGCATTTAGGAATGACATTTTGGTGTAGGTTCTAACATGGTAATCAAGCAAGTGATGTACAAAGTAAAGTTGAGAGCCATATATACAAGCATGAGGAAGTATTTTTGCAGTTGATTGATTTGGAATTCAGTCAGTCCAGTCACGAGTAAAACACTTTCTCCTTCCTGGTACCTCTTAGTGATATGTGCTATGGAGCTAGTGAGGGTTCATGCAGATGATAACTGATAAAAGCATTTTCATCTTGCAAGAGTGCAGTTCAGTTGCTTTGGAATGAACCATTTTACACACGCATTTACTGTTACTTCATGATTGCAGTACATGGGCGAAACCACTGGCTGCATTAAGGCATGTTTGGGTAGCTTTCTCCATCACCAAACATGCACTTTTCTTTCATTTTAATAGTTTTCTCTTTTTCTTTTTTCATAAAAGCTCTCAGTGCTATAACAAGTTCTTCAGTAGTAAATCACGTTGTCAACTTACTCAGTCCATCTGATGCTTGTCGACATGTGTATTTTTAATACCCAACATCCTAGGAGACCGTTCAAGAATCATGCTTAGTACAGTGTACACCCATGCAGAGCATGTGTACAGAACAGCTGTACAGAAGTGGTAGGACACTTACAGACACAGTATTACAAGGTTTAGTTCATCATACACCTAGTATACAGTTTATCACAACATTATGTAATGTAATCAGTATGTTATTTTTGTTTGAAGGACATTTTTCGTTGCTAGGAGGATGGTGCTGGAGACAAGATGGGCCATCTTTTCTCCATGCCACATTGTTCTGTCTCGTGTTCTAATAGTCCTTCAATTTTCACACAAACACAAGTTTCACAGTCTTACTTTCCAGGGACACACATTTGTGTGTTTTTGAGAATATTCAGAGCTCCAGATAAGATTTAGCTCATGTGGGTACTGTACCCACTGTATGTTTTTGGAGTGGGTATTATGAATGTTGAGTGGGTATTTCATTTTCCGTTACCCACTGCTTTCAAATATGTGCGTATTTCAGTCATTCATTGAGTATGTTCTGCCTTATGTCATACCTAATCAAAACGAACTTTAATATAATGGAAATGATTTCATAAAAAATCACTCATCCTATACTGACAATACAACACTTGTCCTATACTAACAGTATAGCAATCGATGTCTTTTTCATTACGCAAGTGATTTTTATAAATATATTCCGTACGCATTTGTTTTAAACTTTTTGCGTATCTAACATTTTAAATGCGTAATTGGTACGCAACAATTATTTTTTCAATGCGTAATTGGAAATTTTCTATGCGTATTTTACCCGGATACGCAGCTTATCTGGGCCTCTGATATTCATGTACATGTCAGGGTTTAGATTTGTTGAGGAAAATGATAGTGAGTCTTTGCAGCTTGATGTTAGTGTTTTATTAGGTCCCCCCACCCTTCAATCACATTTCAAGCCTAATAAAACCCAACAATACTAATGTCAATTTGTTTTCAAAGTATAGAATGTCTTCTATTTTCTCAAAAACATGTCTCCTTATTTGCTGCTGACAGTATATGTGATTGAGTGTTCCGAGACTATGAGCAATACTTTTGATTTTGAAGTTGTGTCTTTCTTCATCTAATCCATCAAAGATTAAACAGTCAAACAAATGACAAATATTTGAGAAATTGGTGTTTTTGTCTTACTGACTTATGGCACGTGTTATTTAGATATGCTCCAACAATTTCAAAAGTTTTGGGTTAAGAACTTTAGAAAAATACTTCACAATTTTAGAAAGTGATATTAGACAGTTTTATGTATTATTTTTACCTGTATTTAGTTTTATTGTCCATTCCTTTAATTTCCACTGTAAGCCATAAAAAAATTACAAGGATAAATGTGACATATGTACACCCAGAACCCTTGGACAGTTTATCAACATTAAAAAAACATAAAACCCTATCCAATTATGCTATTAAATTTTCTTATAGATAAATGTCTTTTTTATGTTATATGGCACTTATGTTTACAAGCTTTTCCATGAAACGCCCACTTGTATACAGATTGTTTCTGGTGGGAGGAATTTGACCCTTGACCTTGACGAATACATTCTCTTTCAGGGTTGACATGATAATACCACTGTATGTCACGCTCATTGTTTTAAGTAACACATGGAAAGAAATTTCCAAATATCCTGACATTTACAAGTACAAGTTGTTTGTGTTTAAAAAATTTCTTATAATCTTTATGTTTGGGTTTGATCTCTGGTATATTTTTTGCTATTTGATGACATTTTGTGTGTGTGTGTGTGTATTTGTTTGAGGATTTCATTTACACATTTGATACATCACAGAATACATCAACACTCATGTTTTAATATGAGTTTTGCTGCATCGTTTATTGTCCTTGACCTCCTTGTGTCATTACCTTTTGACCTAATTCTGTCCTGATGTTTAAAAATTGCACAGTTGTGGCAGATTTCAATCACAAATAAAAAACATTTGAATATCTTCATTAAATTTCTCTGTCAGTGATGTGTATCAAATACTTGAAATGTCAAACTTTTCCACAATGTTTTGATGATTGTAGCTCTGTAACGTTATCTTCACTGATAATAGAAATTTGTTTATATTGGAATTTACGTTTGAATTTTTTTTTAAATTTTGAAGTGTTTGTGTTGAAATTTGTTGTGACTTGTGACTATTTTGATCTTGGATTTTCTGAGACCTCACAGAAAAACAACTTGTCTCAAGCCCTGTAAACATTCCAAGCAGGAGAATATTTCATGCAGATTTCATTTTCAACTGAAAGTAAGAAGAGGATTAATCTAATCTTTTAACTATTCCTGGCCAAAGTGGTGTCCAAGAAACTCACTGTACTGAGTTAAGGCCCTTTGTAGTGGCCGGATCACCCACGATTTTGGTTCTGCTAGCGCTCACATGTGATTATGGTGTACACCTTAATAGCAAAGATCCTACAGCAGAAGTCCATTTCTAACTCGACCATATCATTGTGTTAAACTACGGGAGTTGCAACAATAGTGGTGACCACTTAAAGAAAAAGAGCCCCAAATTACTTTCAGCTGTCCATACTTGTTGTGCTATCTTGCTAAAATTTCACAAAACATCACCTTGGAGAACTCGAGATACAGAATAATTGACCCAGCATCTGGACCCATTTATACAGAATGTACAATCTGTAGAGGAACAATCAAGGTTTATCATATTGAATAGAAAACTACATTCCATACAACTGTTTTCAAATTGAATCAACCTGAGATGATACATGAGACTAGGTTATACGTTTGGTCTTAGATTTTGTTCCCCATCCTAATTTTCTTGAAACCTTGTAAACAACTATGTTTTTTTGGATAGAAACATAGAAGCAGACAAATACTTTGGAGGGCAAAGACAAAAACTCTCCAGGATTCTTTTTCCAATCAGTAGCATCTTCCAAAAATGCCACTATTCAAGAAAACAATTGAATCCTTGAACTTCTGCTAAGTTAAGAATAGGTTAATCCACAAAACAGACTTTATATTAGAAGAACGAAATTCAATTACTTTCTCTCACCAAAGCCACAATGTTTAGGGAACCAGTCTTATCTATTGATACAATACCGAGTATTTCGTTCGTTTCCATATTCTTCAGGGGTGGAAATAACCAATTGCCCAACGCCCCAGTCCAGTGGTTTTTATCTGTCGGGCTAGCAAATTTGTATGTCACGCTGTACCGGTGTCCAGTTGAGTTTCCAATGTTAATTATGTTGTTTATTTTAAAAATCAACAAGAAAATCGTCCGGCATAGTGGAAGAATTATCAGGGCAAGTGATTTTTCATGTGCCACTGTACCGGAGTACACTAGCAATTTTAAAGTTATTTCAACCCCTGTTCTTTGAAAAATGGTGATGTCAGGAAAAGTCTAATTCCGAAGAGGATAACGACTGGTTTGTAGATTGTAAGGAGCAATAAATGAACGAAAGTATAAAATGTAAACAGTACTGGGATTGGAATAGAAG